TCTTCGAGGTAGAGCCTAAACTTAGTTAGTCTACTGGACGGATCTTTTAAACTAAATAAATATACGAGCGGTTTGTGATCTGTAAGGATTTTAAACCTTCTACCGTACAGATACGGTCTAAAATACCTTACAGCCCATACTATAGCGAGCAATTCTAAATCGATTATAGGATATCTGCTTTCGGCTGGCGATAAATTACGACTTGCGTAAGCGACAACATGACCATTTTTGTTTGACAAAACGGCGCCTAATCCTGTTTTACATGCGTCTGTACGTAACTCAAAAATATTATTTTCCGAAAAATCTGGATACTGTAATACGGGTGGGGACATCAAAAGGGATTTTAATTGTTGAAATGATTTTTCGCATTCGGTTGTCCACTCAAATAAAACATCTTTTTTGCATAATTTATTTAACGGAAAAGCTATATTTGCAAAATTAGGTATAAATCTCCTATAATAATTAGCAAAGGCTAGGTATCGTTTTACGTCGTCCGCGTTCGAGGGAACCGGATACTTGCGCAATGTCTCTATTTTGCTATCGTCGGGAAAAATATCTTGCGACGTTATTTTGTGTCCTAAATAAACAATTTCGGTTTGTAAAAATTCGCATTTCATTGGATTTAATTTTAAATTGACTTTTCGTAAACGTTCTAATACAGTTACTAGGTTTTTATTGTGATTATCTATGCAATTTCCAATAACGACGCAATCATCTAAATAAATAAAAGCTTGATTATAATTGATACCTGACATAGCAATTGTCATTAATCGCGAGAAAACACTAGGAGATGTTTTTAATCCCATAGGAGAACGCTTCATCTGATACATTTTATCAGTTGTAAATGCTGTATATTTTCGGGATTCTGGGTCCAATTCAAGTTGGTACATTTTATCTACACTAAATGCAGTATATTTTCTTGAGTTTTCGTCTAAGCATAATTGGTAATAACTTTGTGATAAGTCTAGTTTTGAAAAATAAATACTACCTGATAAGGAATCTAAAATATCGGTTATATTTGGCAAAGGGAATTTATCATCTTTTATTCTGTTATTAAGTTGCCTATAATCAATAACTAATCTCCATTTCTTTTCGTTTGACCTATCTGTTTTTTTTGGAACTAAAAGAACTGGACTGGACCATTCCGAAATTGTTTCCTCTATTATATCGTTGGCTAACATATCATCAATTTGTCTTTGTACCTCTTGCTTTAGCGAATGAGGTATTCTATAGGGCTTTATATAACAAGGAGAGACATTATCCTTTAGGGATATGCTATGAGTCATAACATTAGTAGTCGATAATTTATCTCCTGGAAGATGAAAAACATCTGCGTATTTCGCACAAATATGTTCGATACTACGTCTTTCTTCCTGATTCATATTTGACAAATTCAATAACTCAAACAATAATTTTACTCTACTCACACTATTCTGTTCTTCCGAAATACAACATACGTCAAAATAATTCAAGTCATAAATAGTTATATTTTGAAAATCATATTCTACTTCATTACTTGTAGTATTTAATATTCTCACGGGAATGCGACCATTATTTGGTTTCGCAATTAATCCAGCTACGAAAACTCCTTGCTGAATCTCTTTTGATAAAACAACGCAATCGCTAGAAAATGATGTAGGAATAAACCTTATTACTTCGCACCGCGGCGGAATCAAATGTCTGTACCTAGCGTTATATGATATTTCAATAGAAACATTCATGTTATTGTTAGTTAATTGTAACACACTATTTTTATAATTTATTATCGCATTATAGCGTTTTAAGAAATTATCTCCTAAAATACCATTAGCTGAGCAAGACATATTTTTAAAAACGTAAAACTTTTCTCTAAATACTATATCATTATAAACTAAATTTAAAAAAATATAACCTTCCGATTCTAATCTTCCACTTACTCCCTTAATAGTTATTCTATCATAACATAAGTATTTTAATAACTGAGGATACTTACTAAGCCATTCATACCTTAATACACAGAGACTTGCTCCACTATCGACTAAAAGATTTATTATCTCGTTACATACAAGGAAAGTTACTGTACTACTGTTATTAAAATTAAAAATAAAATTATCTGAATTAACGAAAAAAATCACTTGTCGTGTCATAATTAACATTTTGATTATTAGTACTAGTGGAGGGCAACTCGTTTTTTACGGGTGCCATCTCCTCAACGACAGTGTGGCGTATTGGTGCAGCTGATCTACGTGACCTTGTGCTATATGATCCACGTGCACGACCTTGTTGATATGTTGCACCGCGCGGTGAGCTGTAAGAGCCGCGTGGTGTATTGGGTAAGGGTTTCGTATTATAGCGATTGTAATTATTTGAATAATTACCGCGTGCTCTCATAGTGTTATTACTATTACGATGACAATAATTGCTACCACGATAAAAGGCTTTGCGACGACTGACATTCATTACCTCGAATGATGAAGACAGGGACTGCTCATCCATGGCAGTTCTGATGGCTTCCGGCAAGGTCTCGAACTGTCTCGATGCTATAATAGTACTAAGTCTACGGTCATACAAACCATCTGCGAAGCGCTTGATAGCGATTCTCTCATTAATTGGTTTTAAAACTTTGTATGAATAAGGATCACCACTAGACTGAGCGATTGTTAAGTTGACAAATAAATTTTCTAATTCTGAACCAAACGATTCGATAGATCGATTGCCTTGTTTACTCTGATGCAACTTCCATTGTAAAGCGACTTCTGATTTTTTTTGAATAAGATGTTTGCGCATGTCATTTAAAAGATTTTCAATTGTATCGTAAGTTGAACTCAGCCGTAACTGTGCGCTCGGTGAAAGTCGAGTTTTTAAAACAAATTCAATTAATTGACTTTTAGATTTGTCCGAGATCATCTTACTGTACAATTCTATACTATTTATAAGGGAATTAGTAACAGACTCTTGTCCCGTCATTACAGGCAATAAGGCTATGGCAGTTTTTAAATCAAACTCGCAATTATCACTCATTTTGACTGTTTCACTTTGTTTCTGCTCAGAAATTGATAACTCTATAATTTTATTAAAAATTTGATGAATTTCATTTATTATTTTATGGATGGAAGTTATATCACTAGTAGAAATCTGTTCAGTTTCAATTTGAGAATGCAACACAGACAAGATACTCTCCAACTTTGAATACAAAACTTTTGCCTCTTTAATCTTTTTCAAACCAAGGTCCTGTTGCCTTCCTTTAGGTCCTAATTTAACTAAATAATCTCTAAGATATACAAATGATTTATGTAGTTCATGAATTTCAAATACTACACCTGACATAATTATCTAAACTAAAAACAATAAAAATATTAAGTACGTGCTTCATAACGATAAATTGAAAATAAAAATAGTTAAAAAAATATATGATTACATACTTTTTAATTTGGTTGTTCAAGATACACCTTTTTACTAAGATTCTTCCGAGGGACTGGGGCAGGCGAGCTGGCTGCAGTGGTGCTGATACGGTGATATGACTGGCTGCCGATGACCGATGATGACAGACGTTTTGGCCGGGCTGAATCCTGGACTCCTCTTGTTAAACTCTTAGACTGCGCTGGTAGTGAGGTCAGCTCGTGAGATGGTGGCTATGTTGTTCCTGTTGAGCTCTCGTTGTATGGTGCGAACAAAATGTTTATTGCATTTCTTGAAAATGTAATAAATTGCAGCAAACAGGATTATGCAGACGGTCGCTCCGATCAAAATTTCTAGGATAGCCAATTTTTCACTCTGGGATTGGGATGCTGTTGCCGAAGCTGCTCCATTTGCGTTTGAGCTATCACAACTTGTTCTTTGGATGCCGATTTTCCCATTATTTGTTTCTTCTGTAATCTCTTGTAGTCTTAATTCTTGTGAAATTATCTTGTATTCTTGAAAAATACGGATCTTGAATTTTTGGAAATAGGTTTGGTCTTCTTTTGACTGAGTTCTTGGTGGAAGTATATTACACGATTCGAATGGCAAGGGTCGCCATCTAATATTAGCCTATCGTTGGTTATTTAAGGAAACATAGTTTATAGTTTGAAGTCCGTTTATTGAGTGCAATAAAACATTCCAAATAATTGAATTAATAATATTGCTTACTTGCTAAAACTATCTACGTAAATAGCGGATTGCGACATTACCTAATTACGTTTCCGATAGGTATACACTACAGCAGTATACTGATTATTGTAGACGACCTCCGTGGTCGAGTGGTTTGTACGCCGGGTTTCATGGTGTCGCCGACTCGAGGGGTCCCGGGTTCGAATCCCGGCGGGGGCAGATGTTTGTGTGATGAATACGAGCATTTGTACTCCAGTCATGGATGTCTAATATGTATTTCTAAATAAATATACTTATATATGTATAGTATATGTATTCTATCCGTTACCCTAGCATCCCATAACACAAGCCTAAAGCCAGAAACATATTAACGTGTCGTGGCGTGACGTGGCGCATCGCTTTCATACATTTATTATGGGTTAGAGAGAGATAGAGAGGTTAAAGCGTCGACACGACACGATACGTAAATATGTCTCTAACCATAGTAAATGTGTGAAACCGATGTGCTTCTGGCGCGTCACGACACGACACGACACGTTAATGTGTTTCTGGCTTTATAGTGCTTACTTTGGGCCTAGGCTAAATGGTGTGAGTGTTGGAAATATTTATTTATTATTGACGTGACAACGTCTTAAATTAGGTTGCGGCTGGGAGTCACTTATGAAAAAGTGTAACGCTCGGTAACGTTACGATGAGTCTCTCGTGTTAAGTTTAAGTTTACATGTACAATGTTTTAGTAAACAAAATATATTTCTATAGTTAAAATTTGTGCAATTCTTATTTTCATTCAATTCCTTGTTCCTATTGTGCAATTTAATTATATTCATATCAATAAATATTCTACCGAGAAAAAGACGTTGTCACGTAAAATCTTCGCCCGTAAAACCGACTTTACAGGCAACCATTTTTTATTATTATTGTGCTCGTCCAAGGCGCGGACCCTCTCACCGCGCACTCTCTCCACAAGATGGCGGCGCGCACTAGCTCCGCTAGCGTGTGTTCCGATTCAAGGCGCGCGCACACACGCTTGTTGGTGCTGGAGACGGGTTACTATGACAACGGGCCCGTTACCGTACTGCTGCTAAAGCCTATCACAGGTAGGGTTACTATTTACCACTGCTGGGGCACAGGCCTTCCCTATGGATGCAATAGGGAGATTGGGTCATGACCCACCACGCGGGCCTGAACATAACAATAGTCATTTTTAATCTGTTAAAAACAGGGAAAGAAAATTGTACTGAATTTCATTCATCCTCTAGGGGGAGAATGTGATTTTTTGGAATATTTACCGAAATTTATACTGAACTACATCTGTGTTTATACCATTGGGTTTGTATATAAAGCATTATACATCTTTTTGAAAAAGGAATACGCATTTATTGTGCAGTTATGGGTAGCTTTCCAATTACAGCATTATAGCGCATTATGCGGCGTAATGCTTAACGTTGAGTGTTCCAACTACAGCAACGCTTCGCACAATTGAGCACTCTCAAAAGTGATGCTTTCGTGTGATGCGTGTAATCGTACCAACTTAGAGACAGAAAATTGACAAGTGTTTTTTTCTTTAAGTTGGCATTGATCGAAATGATTTATTTATATGTTATCATTAGTAATATTCTTTATTGTGGAAAATTTATTAAAACCTTCTTTTCATCATAATTTTTTTTTAAATAATCAAAGTTAATTCAAACTGCGTTAAAAATTAAACATAAATATGGATGAAGGTACAAATATTGACTTTTTTTTTCAACACTGAACTTGGCGCACTCTGCTGGTGCATTTGAGAACTAATTCACGTTCCAATTAAGCATCAGCATCATTCGGAATTGTGCGGCACTGAGTCGCATTATGCTCTGTAATTGGAAAGCAACCATGATTATTAAATAAAATAACGAAAACCGACGAGGCCGTATTTAATTGTACCAATGTTTCGAATGTTAACTTTTACTTTTAATTGTCATCATATTATTATTGTTTTATTTTTGACGTGACAACGTCTTAAATTAGGTTGCGGCTGGGAGTCACTTATGAAAAAGTGTAACGCTCGGTAACGTTACGATGAGTCTCTCGTGTTAAGTTTAAGTTTACATGTACAATGTTTTAGTAAACAAAATATATTTCTATAGTTAAAATTTGTGCAATTCTTATTTTCATTCAATTCCTTGTTCCTATTGTGCAATTTAATTATATTCATATCAATAAATATTCTACCGAGAAAAAGACGTTGTCACGTAAAATCTTCGCCCGTAAAACCGACTTTACAGGCAACCATTTTTTTTTGCAAATGGTACGAAAAATAGAGTATTTTCCTCGGTGATAAAGCTGTCTTAGTCTTGGGTGAACTTAAATCCCTCACTACACTCAGGACTCGTCTTAAATCAATCGCTTCGTTCGTGATTTAAGCTTTTAACACCCTCGCTACGCTCGTGAGTAAACCTCGAGTCCTTCGTTACGCTCGCGAATTAAATCGTCACCCGTGACAGAAGACACTGCTTTATCCCCTTGGTTAATAATCTACTATTTTAAGCATGTAACTGCTCAATAAATAATATCATCATCATCATCATCATCATCAGCCTATCAATGTCCCCACTGCTGGGGCACAGGCCTTCCCTATGGATGAAATAGGGAGATTGGGTTATTGGGTGATCGGTGGGTGCTGACGACTGCAGATGTAGCCGGGTCCAACGGCTGAACGTGCCTTCCGAAGCACGGAAGAGCTCGAGATAGTAATTTTTGGTCACCCATCCAATGACTGACCAATACATAAGTTGCTTAACTTCAACGATCGCAGCCGAACCCGCTTGCGCCATCGCGCTCCTCTAACGACAGAGATCATACTCAATTTATTATATTTCCTATAAGCATGTTATAGCTTTATTTATCAAGCTAAGCGGAAGGTGCAGGTTCGAATCCCGTCAGCTGCCTGGACCGCGTGGTTTTTTTCTAGTAAATTTTTATTAAGATCATACTATATACAAATAATCTTCAACGTCCTAGAGCTATATCGCTTTTTAAAGAAATAGCAAAAAGATTTGTCGATATCACCGGAGACCGAAGAGCTGGCAGCTACCAAGTTCAACGATCGCAGCCGAACGCGCTAACCACTTGCGCCACCGAGCTCCTCAATAAATAATATAATGTATCCAAACAAATGATTGGATTGTACTGGAGGTCGTCGGCACCAGTTGCGCGTGCACTGCTCGTGCATCGGCCACACGATCCTGGGCGACTACACGTACAGCGGCCGCGCCGACCACGCCCCGCACAGGATGTTCCTGCACGCCACCAGGTACGTTTACTTTGTTTTTGAACTTATACTTCTTTAGCCGCGTTATGAAAAAATGATGAGAGTGAAATTTTTAGATGCGCGCGCATCACTGTAACCCAAAAGTAACAGCATGAAGTTGGCCGCGGGCGCGTTATGAATGTTAGACATCTGTTCGAAAGGTACTTTGAACGATCCACGGAGCTCCATAAGATGATCGCGTTGTCAAAAACAATGTTGGCACGCTCGTCGCCTCTGATGACTGTTTTCATATTTATAATATTTATCCACATGTTTCTAGTTTCTATATAGACACAACGTGTTTTAGTTACTTACAAGTGCTAATTACATATAGACTAATAACTTAAATTCAGTAGTGATTTAAATTGAATATTTTGAATATTTATTTAATTTTTCAAATTAAAACTGAACTTAATTGACGGTGTTAACTATCCTTTTCCAGTCCTTTTATTATTTTATTGTAATTATTAATTATTTGCATGCAATTAAAAAATATTTTTAATGATGCTAAAGAAGTATAACTTCTCACGCGCGTACATAAGTTACACGCATCCATTTTTTTTTTGATATGTAACATCTTTCCTCTCGCTTTCCTGCAATTTGTGGACTGGAAATGGGACGGAAGTGTGTAACAGGAAGTCGAGAAAGCGCGCGCTGTTTTGTTTGATTATAGAACATAATGTTCAAATGGCTTATTCCTTTGGTAGTAGGTTTTATTTCTTTTTTTACTAATTTAAGGTTAGGTTTTCAAATGTTACACATCATACGCGACTACTGTAAGGCACAATCGTTTTTTTGAGTGTGTATGCTGTTGGTCGCAGATGACCTTTGCAGCGTCACCGGGTTTGGGGACGGCGAGATCCTAAGGGGATCTCAAGCCGAGAAATGGCGAGTGCCTCTAGAGGTATTCCAGGCGGATGGCATCTCCCCACGGGGGGAGTCTCCTCTCCGTCTGGAGTCTCTAGACCGCGAGCACCTGAGGAGGTCGGCTCAACTAGAGGGCGTCTCTGAGACTCGGACCTCGGCTCTAGTTAGCCGTTGTGGTGGGGGGCAGGGAAAAACGCCCAGGTACGCAACTATTCCTGGTATAGCGTGTCGTGTGTAGACCGGGTCTTCGCACTCTTATCCTACGGGTGCGGTGTCTGCCTAATGCTAAGCTAATGTGCAAGTTTGCTAGCTGTGTTAACCAGGCACAGGAACGTACCAATACTATTGTATGTGACCAGCTTATTACATAGTTTATTTATTTGACCCTAACTACCGTAAACTACCATCAGTTCCAAATTGAGAGACCTTTCTGAACTGGCGAAACAAACTCAGGGAGCCTTTCAATCTCCATCTTATGTTTAATCATGTGAACAAAAAGAACTAATAGTATCTGTTGGTTTTTAAAGCATATTTTGCACATAGAAAGCAAAGAATCGAATTAATTTGGCTTGTATTTGCCTTTACTAATATGGAAGGAAAGTGCCTCCCCCGTGACCAAGAGTGGTATTTTGAAGACTTTATATATTTCATCATCATCAGCTTATTAATGTCCCCAATGCTGGGGCACAGGCCTTCCCTATGGATGGAATAGGGAGATTAGGCCATGACCCATCACGCGGGCCCAGTGCGGATGGGTGGGTGCTAACGACTGCAGAAGCAGCCGGGACCAACGGTTTAACGTGCCTTCCGAAGCACGGAGGAGCTCGAGATAGTAATTTTTGGTCCCCCATTCAGTGACCGACCACTGCAAAAGTTGCTTAAGTTCAACGATCGCAGCCGAACGCGCTAACCACTTGCGCTATCGAGCTCCTCTATCTCCGGCATATTTATATATATTTATATGTGCATGTGTGTGCGTGTGCGTGCGTGCGTGCGTGCGTGTGCGTGTGTATATGTGTGTGTGTGTGTGTGTGTGGGATGTTTATATAAATATATATATATATATTTAGTCTACATCTCTAAATCCAGCCCTGTCTGCATTATCCACGTTTTTATTACAGACTCGTACTGCCAGTGCCATCCGAACCTCTCGACATTCAAACCCCGGAGCCATTCTTCCAAGACCCACAATTCCTGGCCAAGTGGAAGTCTGAACGGCAGTTCTACAAATACAAGACGAAGAAGGATCTCCTAGACACCTGCGAGATTTTAGACAAACCCTACGTGATCGGTGTTAAATACAAAATGTTCTCATGCAACGATTAATTCTGTTTAAAATAAACAAATTTAAATAAATTTTAAAAGTTTTTTGTAAATTTCTAACACGTGTTCCCTTCTACAATCTGGTCCTTTAAGAGAGGCGTGAAGAAGCATTCTTGCAGGCCGGTAAAGTAAGGACGGTTGGTGTGGCAGTTTATAACTGCTGTACCAGATATCCACGTTTGGACTTTATCACCACTTAACATCAGGTGGGGTAAAGTCATTTTGCCTATCTGGTTAATTGATGTGTGTTTATATTTTATATAATAAAACTCAAAGGTGACTGACTGACTGACATAGTGATCTATCAACGCACAGCCCAAACCACTGGACCACGCAAGGGAATGAAATTTTGTATGAATCTTTGTCAATTTTAAACCGATCGGGCTGAGAGCATGCAGGTATTCTTATACCTGAATTATAGATGAATGTCATTGTGTATAATACAAGCCTGAGAACAAAAACTGTGGTCTACACTTACGCTCTACACCGAAGCGAAGCGAGGGCGGGCCGCTAGTATTTTATATAACTACAATGTGAAGAGATGGCACTGCCAGCAGCTTAAGAAAGGCTAGAAAGCATTCCACACGGCCATCAGGGCCACGCATACGAATACACTGCGCTAAAGAAATATGACGGATAAATTTTAAATTAATATTGTAGTTCATCTGTATTCCTAATTTGTTATTTTATTTGAAACCTATAATTTAATTTGACATAATTTGTAATTTGACATTATCTTCATTTTGACATGTGTTCTAATTTGACATTACGGTAACATTTTTATATACACGCCTGACATATTATTATTATTTTTCTTTTATTTGATTAACTGCGTTTATGCTTAAAAGTTTGACTGGAAACGTTTCCCTGGTTTTCAATTAAATTCCGTTTTCAAACAAATTAATTAACATACATCAAATTAATATTTAAAAAAAAAGACTTCGAGGCATGTTAAAAAAAACTTTATAATGTATAAATGAATATCTGATGGATAAGGACTTATCGAGTAATATATAAATATGATTACGATGAATGATATTTAATATTGTGATGACTTTTGAATTTAAATTTATTGTAATTGTTATTTTTTTTTTATGTAGTATAATAATGTGTATCTGATGGATAAGGATTAAGTAAATGAAAAGAAGTTTAATTAAGATTACTAACAATTATTATTATGATGACATTTTATTTTGAATTGTAATTTAATTTTAATATTTTACCGTTATTAATTCTATATTTGTATGCCTGATGGCTGGTCGTAGTTGGACTGTATATTCAAGCATAATAACCATGTATTACCTATGTACCACAAATAGATAAATAAATGAAAAATAAAGTTAAGCAACTTTCACAGTGGTCGGTCCTTTGATGGGTGACCAATAATCTCGAGCTCCTCCGTAGTTCGGAAGGCACGTTAAGCCGTTGGTCCCGGCTGCATCTGCATTCGTTAGCACCCGTCAATCCGCACTGGGCCCGCGTGGTTAGTAATGGCCCAATATCCCTATTCTATACATAGGAAAGGCCTGTGCCCCAGCAGTGGGGACATTAAAAGGCTGATGATGATACGAATTCGCGGTCATCCACTAGTTTATTAATAAAGTCTATGAAATGAATTTACTCTCTGTTTAATGTAACATTGAGCGTACCTCATGGCGTACCTAAGGCTTGTCATGTTGGCATTAATGTCACAATACAAAAAGTGCTATGGTGTTATGTAAAATTACATACAGAAACAAATTCAATAATTATCTTATTTTATAAAGAGGTCGATTTGTAAATATACGATTATGATTCAGTTACTAGAGACATTCGTTAACTTATATTTAAAAACGGAATTTTGAAGCCTAATTGGTATCGTAAGCATATCACCACACTTATTACTATATTAATATCATCATCATCAGCCTATTAATGTCCCCCCTGCTGGGGCACAGGCCTCCCCTATGGATGGAATTGGGAGATTGGGCCATGACCCACCACGCAGGCCCAGTGCGGATTGGCGGGTGCTGACGACTGAAGATGCAGCCGAGGCCAACTGCTTAACGTGCCTTCCGAAGCACGGAGGAGTGAGAAATAATAAGTTTTTGGTTAACTTCAACGATCGCAGCCGAACGCGCTTACCACTTGCGCCATCGAGCTCCTGTAACGACTCATTTTATTATATTTCCTATAAGCATGTTACAGCTACATTTATCAAGCTAAGCGGAAGGTGCAGGTTCGAATCCCGTCAGCTACCTGGACCGCGTTGTTTTTTTTCTAGTAAATTTTTGTTAAGATCATACTATATACAAATAATCTTCAACGTCCTAGAGCTATAAGGCTTTTTAAAGAAAAAGCAAAAAGATTCGTCGACATCACAGGAGACCGAAGAGCTGGCAGCTACCTCGGACAAAGAATAAGTCTAGCTATCCAAAAGGGGAACGCTGCCAGTAGCTTCGGAACCTTGCCTAAAGGGACTCCTTTTAATAATGTATTTTAGTTTATATATTATTTTTTAAGGTTTTTAGTTTTAGGTTCATTGTTATAGTATATATTTTTTTAAGCTAGTATTATCCTAGATTGAAATATCTAGCAATAATCTTCAACACGTTTGTTCAATATTATAATCATAATTTATTTTTCAACATTTGAGAGAATAGTGGAAAATAGTTGATTAGTTAAATAAAACAAGTTTCAACGGTTTCATTCAATGATTTTATTTATTTATTAGGAGGTCACAGATTAAATAATCTGTCCGAATAGAGTATCCATGAGCAAGGCAAAGGTCTTTTTAGGCGTAAATTAAAAAGAAAACAGCGAGCGGCGCGGAAATTTGATATTGGCTACTAGAGCTGCCACGGACTGTTGAGGTTTTTGAAACTTGTTTTATTTAATGAGTGATGTGCGTGAAAACCTACGAAACGAATGTTGATTAATTATGTAAGTATTTCTTGTAGGTGCGCAGACTTCTACAGTGGGCAATGTTTAATGGCATTTTGCATAGTCGTAAAAAGTCGATAATTCTACTGGCTTCAATTGCAATATTCGGTACTCTTGTCACCATAATCACTGTTGTATGGACTGTTACTTCAAACAGTAATAAAATTGAATAGGTATGATCTTCCTGACTTCAACATAAAAATAAAACAAATGTTTTAACTGCAGATTGGAATATCGATGAAACATCATTTTAAAGCTTGCAAACTTGGTGAAATAACATAAAGACTCATAATAATGTTTACCAGTCTCATGAATGTTAAATTATCAGGCTCATTAACGTTCATTAAGACAAAAGACAGTATCATAATGATGTATATCCTATTTGTACTCTTAGAATAGATAAGATTATGTACACTGTACAAGGGTCGTGGTGAGCATTCACTCATTAGTGATAAATATCTTAATATAAAAACCCCTCTACCCTTGAGACAGTCAGTTCTTCTGCAGTTCTTCAATAACCATCGTCATAAGTGGTTGTTATATATTATAATAAAGTAGTATAAAACTTTGACCAATCGGGTGTAGACAGATTATATCTTAAAAGAGGAGGGGAAAATTTTTCAAGATAAGTTAGTTTTCAACTCTGTCCGATGCGATGGGTAGCGGCGCTGTAAATGGGCTTAAGGTTTTTTTTTATCATCGCTAGTTATATATATATCTACTATATAAAAATAAGTCGGGTTTTCCTTCCTGACGCTATAACTCCAGAACGCACGAACCGATTTCCACGGTTTTGCATTCGTTGGAAAGGTCTCGGGCTCCGTGAGGTTTATAGCAAAGAAAATTCAGGAAAAATTAAAAAAAAAACTTCTTTTAATCACCAAACGAAATGTTACATAAAACGAAGCCATCTGGTGGCGAAACGGAGTTCGCGGGGTTTGCTAGTATTAATATATATAAGCCCTTTTACAATATTAAACAAAGAGGTTGAATTTTTAAGCACACAACTGCTTTAAGAAAATTTTACTAGAATTGAAGTCCCGTCTACTGTCTGGTTCGTGTGGATTTATTTCTAGTAAAATTTTCTTTAGATTTTAAGAGGTTGAATTTTATGATTATTGCAGATGGAGGAGAATGTGAAGCCACGTTTTCAAGCAAACAGTAACCCTCCGTTCAGAGTTCGCGGCCCAGTGTACGGTGAAAACTCATGCCTCGGAAGGAATTTTAAGTGTATAATATACGGTTTGATAATTTTATCTTCCATTTCCTTGGCAGCAATTATTATTGTGTACTTAGTTAAACAATATATGTAGTAAAATCGTGCTTGATTAATTTTTGCCTTTTAATAATGTTGTTTTTGTCGATATAAATATTTAGAATTAAACTGACAACACTAAAAAAGCATGGGTACTTTCGTAGTGGTGTCCGTGCTGTATAATTTGAAAAAAAATGGGTGCGTGTACTTATGTAGGCGCGTGAGAAGTTATCCTTCTTTAGCATCGTTTAAAATTAGTTTTTAATTGCATGCAAATAATTAATTACAATAAATTAATAAAAAGTCTGGAAAAGGACACAGTCAATAAAGTTCAGTTTTAATTTGAAAAAATAAATAAATAATCAAAATATTCAATTAAAATCGCTACTGAATATAATTTATTAGAACATATGTGATTTGCACTTGTATGAAACTCAAACACGTATTCCGAATATACAAACTAGAAACATGTGGATAAATATTATAAACTAGCGGCCCGCCCTCGCTTCGCTTCGGTGTAGAGCTGAAGTGTAGACTACAGTTTTTGTTCTCAGGCTTGTATTATACACAATGACATTCATCTATGATTCTTCTTATACCTGCATGCAAAGTCTCAGCCCGATCGGTTTAAAATTGATAAAGTTTCATACAAACTTTCATTCCTTATTTTATCCCCTTGAGATTTTCTTTATATTTTATTCCGTAAGAACCTTGTACAGAGTATTAGAAAACTACAAAAAAAAACAGCCAAATCGGTCAAGCCGTTTTCATGTTATGTCGTGACAACGGAAAACGGGTTTCATTTTTATATATATAGATATGAAAACAGTCTCTGTTCTAAATTCAAAACTCGTAACTTTTCCCGATGTTTATTGTTAAAATTTCACTCTCATAATTTTTTTATAACGCGCCTAAAGAAGTATAACTTCAAAAAAAAAAATGTGTGTGTCAGCTCCGACGCACGACTGGAGTTTACTTCTTAAGTTCGATAGTCTAACCTGACGCAAAAAGAATTTATTTAACTTAAAAAAGATTGATACTGTATACTGTAAAGGGTAAATTTACAAATTAATGAAAATAATATACATATATAAATATATATTTATTCATTTCATATACATTTATTATAACTAATCGATGAAATATTTACATTAAACTTTTTACAATAGTCAATTTCCGATGTGCATAAATAAAGGTACGCTACGATACTGTGCTACGGTGTAGCACTACGGCTGCTACAGCGTACACAATAAAAACGTAACGAGGTCATTCATCGATACATTTCACTCCTCACATTTTTCTCATACCGGGCCTCTTATATATGCAAATCGATTCTTAAGGAGTAAACTCCAAAAAATACTTTACTAGTCTGCAACGATATTAAATACCCCTAGATACAACAACACGAACAAAACCGTGGCCGAAACGTCTCCAAAAGGGACCTTGGCCGATCCTAGGAGCTCCGTAAAATGATAGCGTAGTCAAAAACCTTATAGGGCATTATTTAATTTTAAACACTGAAAGTCACTTTCAATGCACAGGGTACGGCCACAGTGCACGCAGATTCAGAATCAGATTCAGACTCAGAAAACAAGCGCGAGAAATAAACAGTGGTAGCTTTCCAATTACAGCATTATAGCGCATTATGCGGCATAATGCTTAACGTTGAGTGTTTCAACTACAGCAACGCTTCGCACAATCGAGCACTCTCAAAAGTAATGCTTTCGTGTGATGCGTGCAATCGAACCAACTCAGAGACAGAAAATTAACAAGAATTTTTTCTTTAAGTTGGCATTGATCGAAATGTTTTATTTATATGTTATCGTTAGTAATATTATTTATTGTTGAAAAATTATTAAAACTTTCGTTTCATTATAGTTTTTTTTAAATAATCAAAGTTAATTCAAACTGTGTTAAAAAATAGATATAAATATGGATGAAGGTACAAACATTGACTTTTTTTTCAACACTGAACTTAGCGCACTCTGCTGGTGTATTTGAAAACTAATTCACGTTCCAATTAAGCATCAGCATAATTCGGCATTGTGCGCCATTGAGTCGCATTATGCTCTGTAATTGGAAAACCACCAGTGTAGTTTAAGCAGGTTGCCTGCTGCCACTATGGCCACCCTACTTAAACTACACTGTTTATTTCTTGCGCTTGTTTTCTGAGTCTGAATCTGATTCTGAACCTGCGTGCACTATGGCCGTACCCATACTGTATATGGTCTGCGTCAAAGAGTTTTGACAGTTCGTAATGCAAGCTCGTAAAATTTTACGACTTATTGCTTTATGCGGAAGAATATAAACCTTATTTCTTTGACTCTATGAGCAATTCTGAACGCGCTGTTAGCATAATAGCAGGTATGGACCGCGAAGAAAAGAAACGGCTATATTATCGATATGCATTTGAACAAATATTTTATATTAAATCAGTTTATAGTATTTTATATTACAGTATTACAACAAAATTTTCTTCAAATGCGTTAATTGCGTTAACATTGGTTTGATACCTATAAAAAAAGCGATATTTTACGTACCTTATGTATATTGTTTGCATTTTTTCACGATATCTGCGGTATCTTGACTTTTCAACGATCCGCGTGTGGCTGTGTACCAAGAAGTGCTTGTGTGGTGTTCAAACACTTCTTGATTGGGACACATTTTGAGTGTACCTGCCCCTCTAGCATGACCACCGAAACGGGATATGATAAAGCGATATATCGACATTATCTGTCAGACTACTATGGAGTTTGGGTATGGCCAGAGTGCACTCAGATTCAGACTCAGAAAACAAGCGCGAGAAATATACAGTGTAGTCTAAGCAGGTTGTCTGCTGCCACTATGGCCACCCTGCTTAAACTACACTGTTTATTTTTCGCGCTTGTTTTCTGAGTCTGAATCTGAGTGCACTTTGGCCGTACCCTTTGACAGTAGTCGGACAGTTAATGTCGATATATCGCTTTATCATATCCCGTTTTGGTGGTCATGCTAGAGAGGCTGGTGTATCTAGGGTATTTAATATCGTTAACAACATCCGATTTCACACAGATTTTAAGGTTCATTTAATTGATGAAGGGAATTAACTGGACAAACCTATTAAGTTTCTAAATAATTAAAGAAATAAAATATGTAATTTATTACATAAGTTGAGGAAACGAAAGCTTTTAGGACGGTACTTTTAGAGTATAAATATAGCAATGCTAAGGCTACAGCCAGAAACATATTATAGTGTCATATTGTATCGTGACGCGCCAGAATCACATCGTTTTCATACATTTACTATGGTTATAGGCATATTTACGTGTCGTGTCGTGTCGTATCAACGCTATAACTTCACTCTCTCTCTCTCTTACACCCATAATAAATGTATGGAACCGATGCTTCACGACACGCCACCCACAAGACGTAAATAATGTTTCTGGCTTAAAGACCGTATCGGCTTTTCGAATGGGCGCTAAGCGAAAAAAAATGTATGGCGTATGTAGGCAAGCCGCAACCCACGAAGAGCAATCAAGCGCCGCGCCGATTCATGTTTGCGATGAACAAACTATAAGTTTGTTGTTGTTTTATTTATTTTTGGAATTAGGGTTAAACTTAAATTTTTGTTTTCGTATTATTTTACACAGGTGGAAATGGAAGTTGCGGGCATCCACTAGTATGCAATATAGGTATATAATATTGCAACGATTAGGGTGCGGCCAGAGTGCACTCAGATTCAGATTCAGATTCAGATTCCGAAAACTAGGGCGAGAAATAAACTGAGTGCACTCTGGCCGCACCCTTAGGCTATATAAACTGAGTAGAAGACGCCTTTGTACTCGCATATGGAGAAGTTAAAACTATTTTCTATTTGTAATTTGTGTATGGTTTCGTTAGCAACAGTGCTGCCACACGCACCGTGTTTACAGTAAAATTATCATATTCAGCACAAAATTATACACTATTAAAATAAGTATTATAACATCCGAAACTCTCGTTAAATTTGGTAATATATTAAAATATTGGCATTTGAATGTATTGGATGGTAAATAAAAATTAAAAATTATATAAATGTTTTTAAATTTTCACACACACACCAACTATTTAATAAAATATACTTCCGTGGTCGTAAAACTTGCGACCAATGCGATGGATCATGTGAATTGAAAGGAAGGAGGTAGACAAAAAAGACAGAATGGCCAGGAGTGCAATATTTTGGTTACAGAAGCTATGGTATGACCTCAATATTCTCGTAGAACCAAAATTAGCCAGGCTGGCAAGTCACTCATTGGTGTCAATTCTGGCGTGATTCTCAAAACTTAAAACTAAATTGACATCATTTTCTCCTTTTCATTCTGTATAGATAATGACAAGGATGCACTTTTGTCAAATTTAAGTTTAGCTTTAGAGAATCATGCCAGAATCGAGATCATTGTCTCCTTTTTAAGTTATAAAGTGAAGACATGGAGCTTGAGAAAATCCAATCGTTACAATAATGACGATTTGATATGTTGGAGTTGTTGGAGAAGGATGCTTCGGATTGCTTAAAGAACATTTTGCACCAACAAGTCCATTCTACAAGAACTGGGTATAAAAACAAGGAGATTCTCTGCTTTGTGTCCTCATAGGGTATTGGAGTTATTTGGTCACCACGTCTGAAACAATGGCTATAACCCCGAACAACTTGGAAGTTAGTTCAAATTTACTTGTTTTGTCACGCAATCATGAGCAAGACACTTTGATGATATACCTACATGTTCTTATCTGCCTATAGGCCGCATGATTTGCGCGCGTGTCCTGAGTGTTGAAGTATTTTTAAATTACTAAAAAGAAATTCGAATATGCTCCATTAATACCTAGTAACTTCATATTCTAATAATAGATATGATTGAATATTCCCAATATTTGAAATGCAAATCCTAATACAAGAAGAAATGCAAGAAGAATACTTACTTTATTACTTACTTACCAATCACTGAGATATCCAAAAACTAGGTTAAAGTTAATACAGAAATCGCCGTTATTTTAAATTCTAGACATGGCAACACATAGCATCCAGGCCATAGAGCTTATAGAGTAGAGCGGAAAATAAAAATAATGGCGGATATGTGCTGAGACGCGATAGTGTGATGTGAATTGTATTCTAGGATAATTAAAAAGTCTACGTGTTAATTTAACTCCTTAGCTAATTAGATTTCGTGAAATTGAAGATAAATCTAGTGACAACAATAGTGAGAGTTATGGTTCGCAATCTGTGATATGCGTGTGACGTGTATTATACATTGATAGATTTACATAGCGTGGTGAAAAATGACGCAGTTTTTACCACCGAATTTGCTGGCACTGTTTGCTGCCCGCGACCCCATCCCATATCTTCCCCCAGCGGCTAAGCTCCCTCACGAAAAGAAACAAAAAGGATACGATGGAGTCGGCGCTTTTCTCAATGTGTTTGAGGTTAGTGATATATGCAAATAGCTGCAAAAAAAAGAAATTTCCTTTATGAAAAGTGGCCGACACTGCCAAGCTATAATAACTTTCTACTGTTTTAATACTAGGCTTGACTCATTTAAATATGTAATTGATTTATTACTATGAATGTATAAACAAGTTAATTCACATCAGCTATTGCATTTCCTTGATTTTTTTGAACAGAGAACATGGTTCTACAAAATCAAGGAAAATACAATGTGGTCATTTTTTTTTTCAGACAATTGTTTTTTTGCGACTAATGTTTCTTTATAAAAGTGAAATGCATTTTAAATTCAGATTTTTGGGGCTATTTTGATTTAATTAAAATTTTAGGCACTGCAACCTATGCACCAATTGTGGCTCCCTGTCAAATTCAAAGAAAGTTTATTTTTATAACATTATTTTACAGCAATTCTTGTGCATCCAATATTTAGAGCATTCAAAATAAGGTCAATCACAGAAACTCATCAAAGACTGGATTATATGTAACAAAATGCCAAAGTATTCATAAAATATCTGAAACATATTTGAAACAATCATATAATCAAACAGTTGTTAAGTAATCTCTGAAACTACTGTTATCATACTTTTTTCCATTTAAAAAAAATTAATATGTGCAAAGCTCAGTATAAATATCAACAATACTATAAACCTCCGCTACACTGTACTTCCTGGACACGACTCAAGAGGTGACACTAGGTTAGGTTAGTGTTGTGATCATAAAGCACTAGCCGAGTGAGCAAAGCATGCTTGTGGTGGCAGAGGCCTGTGAAGTGCCAGAAAAAAAGAGACAAATAAAACTAGTTTTAACGGGTTAACGCTCCACAAACTTTATTTATTAATTGATGTTTCGCAGCCTTTTCAGGTCTGCATTGTCAGAATAATCATATTATTATTATTCTGACGATGCAGACCTGAAAAGGCTGCAAAACGTCAAATAATAAATAAAGTTTGCGCATTAACCAGTTAAAACTAGTTTTATTTAATGAGTGATGTGCGTGAAAACCTAAGAGACAAATATAATAGAGACCTTATCAACAAAGAAGACAAGTATCACCTCTGGGCCTCCCATGGGCTTATCTTAAATTTCTATACAGTCAACCATCAAGTTGAATTTTTCCAAATATATCGCAGCACCCATCGGATACTCCACCCATGCCCTTATCATAGATTTTTATAGTGTATGCCATGAATTGGAACTTTTCCAAATATATCAGCACCCATCGGAGACGCCGCCTCCCACGCGCGTGGAGACCCGCGAGGAGCGCATGGAGCGCCGACGCCGTGAGCGCGCCGAGCAGACCGCGTACAAGCTGGAACAGGAGATCGCCCTGTGGGACCCTGCAGCTAATGCTAGAGCTACTACAGACCCCTTCAAAACGTTGTTCGTGGCTAGGATTGTGAGTATTGGTAGTACTTAGTTTTAATAGCTGCTACCTGTGATTTATAGTTAGTTCTAAAGAGAATATAACTTGAAAAAATTCGACGCACACCAGGCAGCAGACAGGACTGGAACCCGCACCCTTCCCAATCCGGGCGAATGCACTGACCAAAATCGACGCGGTCTGTGAAGGCCGCGGTAGCATAATTTAAGCATCAAGCAGTTACATGCTTTAAAATAATAAAAATTATAATTATAGTTAGTTTTTTGAGAATTCCATTTTTACAGTTGTTTACTTAAAGTCTAATGTTTCAAGTTATAAAATGCTACATTAAAAGTTTGATAACTTGAAAGACAATATCAGTTCAGGTTCAGGCATGATCAACTTTAGCTGAGCCATTTTGTATTTATTGTCTTTTTTATTTATTTGTAAATTCAATTTTAATATTGGTTAGCATTTTTAAAGACGAGAAGAGAGTAAATAATGAAAAATCTTATTAATTTCACATTAATTGGATGTCAATAAAATAATGAGAAAATTTCACAGGTGTTGATTTGTATCAAATGATGTGAATTCAACTCGATTGAGCTTGACCCCAAAGGTTGAAATTTGAGGATGTAGCAATTGTTTGACTGGCTCCTTTCTTTCACAGAACTATGACACATCAGAGTCAAAACTACGGAGAGAATTTGAAGGATATGGACCAATCAAAAAGGTTTGTTTTTGCATAGTTTAGATTAAGAAGTCAGTAAGGATATTATTATGCTTCCCTTATGCGAGCACTTCACTTGACTATCATATTTGCTATTTATAATAGACACGGTTTGAATTTGTACGGAGGGTGATAGTCAGTCTCCGACAGACTCCACATTTTTAAGATGTGTAGTGCTGTAAATTGTTTGAATAAAAACTATAATTTATTTTATCTCAGTTTTTTTAAATTACATATTATTATAATATGAAATTATATAATTATTGATTGGGTGACTATTCTGTTCATATTTCATTACGTCATTGAGTATTTTGTGTGTATTCTTTTCAAGAGGAATCAATCATAAATTGTTATAATAAGTTCACCATGAGTTCATGAATATCATGCATGACTGGACCTGAGTTTTTGAGTTGATGTTATTAGCTAAAAATATGAAGTTACTTATGACACTGTGGCCAGCATCCTCATCCTCAAGGATCTCGGAACAGGAGCAATACTTTAGGTATAGCTAGTCTAATCAGTGTTTGTTTTTTTTAATAAAAAGTTTTTCCAACTGTCGCTTCTGTCCGCAGATTTACATGATATTTAACAAGGACAACGACAAACCGCGCGGCTACGCCTTCATAGAGTACGAACACGAGAGAGACATGCACTGTGAGTCTACACACTACACTTCACTCCGTAGGGGGGAGCGGACGATTACACTACAATACATTACAATCACTACTGTACTACACTACACTGGAAGATAGATACACTACACTAGATTACACTAAACTACACTCATATAACTTTGCTATAAAAAAACCTACACCAGATAAAACATGACACCACATACAATAAAGTAAGGCCAACGAGAAGCGATACAAAAGTTATTTCACCTTATAAGAGACTAGCGGACTGCCCTCGCTTCGCTTTGGTGTAGAGCTAAAGTGTAGACTACAGTTTTTGTACTCAGGCTTGTATTATACAAAATGACATTAATCTATGATTCTTCTTATACCTGCATGCAAAGTCTCAGCCCGATCGGTTTAAAATTGACAAACTTTCATACAAACTTTTTCATTAAGTTCAGTGTCATTTCGATACTACTTGAATTATCATCAGATAACATTTTTTTAAACTGTTTTGATTTTCTGTTTTGATAATTTAAATGATTGTTTTCTACATTTAATTTAAAGAAAAGGGCCATTAAAAGATAAAAGTCCTATATTAAATTTCAAATCGTAAGTGCGTTAGTGAACATAGTAAAAATGATAACAATGCGATTGGGGGTTTCCGTTTAGAAAACATTTCATTTTGGGGAAATATAAAAATCAGTGTGGGGGAAATCATACAATTGTATCTGGGAACTCAGCTAGTGATACACTTCACTCAATACAGTATATTTTGGGAAACACCTAATACAAATAAGTATACATAATTTATCACACATGAAATAGTCCGTTTCTCCCCTGTTAAATTGTTTGTTTTTTACATTCGTAAATTGGAATCATTGTCAACAATTTTGAGAACCAGCAGTTTAATGAAATATTTAAACTACTTAACTTTTCGATGAAATATATTATATGTAAATTATTAAACTAATAGTACATTATACATATTATAGTTTGTATGAATTCTTGGCAATGATATTATTGTCCAAATCCATAATTTTGCTAATGGATTTGCGATGGCTTAACCTTTTTGGAGAAGCCTAACTTTGAAACAATTTTTGCTTCTCATATAAATATTTTTATCTGTTATATTATGATATGATTTATAAAAATGCTATCTGCATATCTCCTTTTTTATCTGTTACACACTATGGCTAGAATCAAGGTCTAGTGATTATGTTTAAAGATATTCCAACATTTTTCAGCACAATATTCTACAATTTTAAATCCTTTCGAAAATTTATTCATATACGTTTCTATATAACTACATATTTTAATGAAGGTGTAGAGTTTGCGATGTTGGGCTTATAGAGTGATAAGTTTGGCTCTACATTACTCTTTGACAGTGCAAGAGTCTTATTGTCACTTCTCGGCAACATTTCATATGAAAATGTTTAACTTACAACACCATTATTTACAAAATTCTAAGTGAATATTATAAGGTATAAAATATTAATATTACAATCCATTATTGTAATAATGTAACATTTCTAAAATGCTAAAGTATTTCGTGAAATAAAATAAACTCGTTTAGATAATTGTTTTTCGTTAGATTAATAGTTGAATAGTCGAAAGATATATTCAATCAATTTCCTAACAAGCGGTGTAAACATTTTGGAGGTTTATGGCAAATGAAATTCACCAGAATGTGGTTTAATTGTGTTCCATCAAATCAACAGTTGAATTATATCGCCAAAATTATATTCAATAAAGTTCTTAAACGGTGGGGTAATTAATTTGCAAGTTTTATGGCAACGCTACTCCAAAAAGGTTGGCCATGAGGTTTGCCTGCCTCCCAAGCGAATTATATTAACGTATCAAATATATAACACATTCATTGAGAGAAAAATTGGGTTTACTCGCTGCGTTTTGTGATGTATGATTAATAATAGTTTTTCTATTCTGACCAGAGACCCAGCCGTATGACACTACACTTCAGTAAACCGGCCAAGTTATTAGGTTTGTATGTGGTGGTAAGAGACCAACATACAACTATATTTTCTCCAAAAAAAAACATAGTATTTATAAAATTTCCAAGTCTGACAAAAAACTTTTTTTTTTGTGGTAAATGGTAAATTTAAAATTGTATATTTTATTTTGGTAAATTCAATAAATTAAATTGTAGTGTCGTTGTCAATGTGTTAGTTTAAGCGCAAAGCGTAAGTAATGATATGAGCGCAACGTCTATCTATCTCCTTTGGGTTCTCCATCATGGATTCGGTAAAAAAAACGAATGGTAAAGTAAAGGTAAATTAAAAAGTAAGTAAAAAAAAGTACCGCGATGGATTGTGTTACTAAACAGTAAGTAGAGTATTAAACGGTAGGTATTGTCTTACGGTGGGTATGAATTTTTATTTAACTTGGTAACTTTATGGAGGTGTTTTCGGTATTGGGTATTATATATTTTTACTAGTCATTTCAATTTTTTTTTTGCGATATACGCAACGCGTTCTAACGTTTTCAGAATTAATTCGTTTTTAGAGAAGGGTGAATAATTTTAATCGCACGGATGGAATTTTGTGTTTCTTTTTCCATTTAAGCAGCAAAATAATTATTTTGGATGACAGTGTTTTTTAAAAACAAAAATGTACCCTTTGCATCATATCTATATTTTATTTTTATAACTATTACAGTTCAAAGTTTCATGCTAATATGATTTATCATAAAAAAAAACGCAAAATAAGCAAATGCCCCAAAATACGCAAATTAAACCATTCTTTGTTTTAAATACATATTTATTTTTGGAACTTATAGAATGTATTTGTATTTCGTTAACACTTAATAGACGAAAATCACTGGGCATATTACATCAAAAAAAAAATGGCCCAAATTGGTTCCAGAACAATGGAACATGGATTCCTTGCAAAAAATAGTTTGACTAATACCTTCATTTAGTTTGACTAATAAAATGTATTACTCAATTTCGGCAATGCCTCTTGTATTCATGTACTTACGTCAATCTTGATAAAATAGTTGTCGGAGTCTGTCGGCTTGGTCGGTGGGTATGAAGGAACGTAGGTATTCCATTGCTATTGTGCCCTTTACAGGTTATAACTAAAGGAAAATACAAACAAACAAACAAACATAAAAAGAATGTTTCGACATATTGAATGACCAATATATTGAAGCAGGTTTGATACGGCCTTTTATTTTTTCTTTCTAAATAAAAATACTTTTTTGTTTCCAAGAGATTATATGGATTTTTTTAACTAATAAAAATCCATGTTAAGCTAACCTTTTTCGCAATTTGTATGGATTTTATGTTTCATATTTTTTCTAATAAAAGAAATCCATGTATGCTTTTTTATTTATTCATTTTGATATCTTTCGTGCGAGTCTGTCTGTTTGTCAGAAGTGTTTTTGGAGTTAGCTTTAACCGTGCCCTGACTACGTTTTTATAGTGTAGATGATGGCTTTATTTTTTTAATTAACGAGACATAAATTATATTTATTTAGTAAATGGAAAATGTCTAGCGAATCGAAAGAGCAGATCTACGTATTTATTTATTGAAAATTGTAAAACCATGAAAAGGACAATGGGCAAAACGCACCCAGCTCCGCCAACAATGTAATTAGTATGAATCGATAGATCTATGAAAAGCTAGCCTTTTTTTATTATGACACCGAAATCGATTTTTCATTTTTATTTACACGGTTAGGTTATATCGCTTAGCCTCTCGTCTGTGATATATTACGTTAACCAATATACCGCTGTTTGTAATAGTTCAGGTTGGTTAGGTAAAACTAGTCAGTTTAGCTTCTTCAACGAACAAACAGACGCGCATGCAAAGAGCTTGCCTCAAAACCTCCGCCTAAAGCCGTGGCTCGTATTGCAGCGGCGTACAAGCACGCGGACGGCAAGAAGATCGACGGCAAGCGAGTGCTGGTTGACGTCGAACGCGCCAGGACTGTTAAAGGGTGGCTGCCCAGGAGACTCGGTGAGTGATATCATCATCGTCATCAGCTGATTAATGTCCCCACTGCTGGGGCACAGGCCTTCCCTATTACGCAACAGGGTGACCAACACACGGGAACACGGGCCCAATACAAATGACAGGGGGACCAATACAAGCTACAGGGGGACCAATACAAGCTATAGGGGGACCAATACAAGCTACAGGGGGACCAATACAAGCTACAGGGGGACCAATACAAGCTACAGGGGGACCAATACAAGCTACAGGGGGACCAATACAAGCTACAGGGGGACCAATACAAGCTATAGGGGGACCAATACAAGCTACAGGGGGACCAATACAAGCTACAGGGGGACCAATACAAGCTACAGGGGGACCAATACAAGCTACAGGGGGACCAATACAAGCTACAGGGGGACCAATACAAGCTATAGGGGGACCAATACAAGCTACAGGGGGACCAATACAAGCTATAGGGGGACCAATACAAGCTATAGGGGGACCAATACAAGCTACAGGGGGACCAATACATGTGGACTGGGGGACCAATACACGCTACAGAGGGACAACCCTTCCCTATGGATAGAATAGGGAGATGGGGCCATGACCCACCACGCGGGCCCAGTGCGGATTGGCGGGTGCTAACGACTGCAGATGCAACCGGGACCAACGGCTTAACGTGCCTCCCGAAGCACGGAGGAGTGAGAGATAGTAAACTTTTGGTCACCCATCCAATGACCGACCACTGTGAAAGTTGCTTAACTTCAACGATCGCAGCCGAACGCGCTAGCCACCTGCGCCATCGAGCTCCTCGAGTGATATGACGTGAATGAATTCTGTAGTTTCGTTAATTGTTCACTAACAAACCCAGCTGACTATACTGCCATAGTGAATATTTGAGAAATTGATTTAAGACTTGTTTAAATATTTACGCCCGTTGCAAAGTATTATCAATATTTTCGAATTAGCTATTGTTGAGTTATAAAACGACGTCTCATGCTTATACAAAAATAGTGCTCAATAAATCATCTAAAAGGACACACGTATTTTCCTTGCACTCCGTGCCTGCAGTAAGACATCAACCCTATTGCCATCAGCATAAGCCACATAATGGACCGTAACGAGCCGGATTTTTAATGAGCTACCGAACAAAAGACAGACAAGCGGCCGGCAGCATCGAACAAAAGACTGCAAAAAAAAGGGTTCTATTCAATTACGTGCATATTATGGACATTGCAAATTGACTTTAAAGTGCAAGTGTGAAGAGTCAACCTAAAACAAGCTATCGAAGATTTTTTATACAAGTTATTTGCAACAAACTATTATAAGTGGATATTTTTGTGAACGTTATTAATAAATTAAGCAATCGGTACTGAAAGTATGGCTATGGAGGGCACAAAAATGGAACAATTATTACTACAATTAGATGAAACGGCTACTTTAATGAATAAAACACAAATAAATTTGAAAAAGTGTCCAAAGGTGAGATTAACCAGGGGATATCTACAAACAAGAATACAGTGCATAGATGAATACTGGAACCTGTTTACTTCTACACATCGCGAACTGATAAAGATAACGCCGCGAGACAAGCGTGCCGACATCCCGTACTTCGTGAATGATGAATATGGTAACGTCGAAGATGTGTATATAAGCCTTAAAGCTGACATTCAAGATGCGATTTTACAAATTGAGGCATCAACGTCACCACATCGGTCACCGCGTCAAGAATCGTTGACTTGCAATGTGTCTGCAGATGCAGTCTCATCGCAAGTTAGGCTACCTAGTATCCAACTGCCTACCTACACCGGAAATTATGACGAGTGGCCTACTTTCCAAGATTTATTTGTTAGCTTGGTACATGAAAACTCATCACTTTCGAACGTGCAAAAACTTCACTATTTGAAGACCAGCATAGCGGGTGAAGCAGAGGCGCTTTTGCGTCATGTTCGCGTTACAGATGCTAATTATGCCGACGCGTGGAACATCTTAAAGCAACGTTATGGAAACAAGCGTATTATAGTGCATTCTCTCTTAAATAGGTTATTTTCTCATAAAAGGGTAAGTATTCAGTCTGTCAATCAAATAAAAATGTTACTCGATAATACAACCGAATGCCTTAACACATTAAACAATATAAATATAAAAACCGATTCTTGGGATCCTTTAATTATATTTCTTGTGGTACAGAAATTGGACCAGGAGTCACGTAAGGATTGGGAAAATTTCGCATATAAAAATAATTCTGATGATTTACCATCGTGGTCGGATCTGAAGTGTTTTTTGGAATCAACTTTTCGTACATTAGAATTAGTAAACCCTACCGCGACTTTGTCTACAGAAAGGGTAAGAGAGAAAAATACTAGGAAACGTTCATTCCATGCTATGGCTCGTCCAGTAAAATCATGTTTATTGTGCAATGAAAATCATACTTTGTGTCACTGTAAACAATTTACAAATATGTCAATTGTTGAACGAAACAATTATGCAAAAGATAAAAACTGTGTTTTAATTGCTTGTTGACAGGTCATTCTGTTTTAAAGTGTCGGTTACCAATGTCTTGTCGAATATGTCATAGGCGTCATCATACCCTTTTGCATCATATCAAGAAAGAAGAAAATTCAATGCATACGCGTGTAACAAATACAGGTGCAGAAGAGGAGGAGTTTCAAGTCAACACAATGATGACGTCACACTGCAATGCAAGGCAGGGATACGCTTTATTAGCTACTGCGCTAGTTAACGTGAAAGGTGACAACGGTCACACAACAACATTACGAGCACTTGTCGACCAAGGCTCACAAGCTTCTTTTATAAGTGAGAGGGCTACACAATTATTAAAACTAAAGAAGAAACCAGCACGAGGGAACATTACTGGAGTTGGTTCGACGAAAACAAGGATCAATAGCATTGTGCAACTTCAGATTATTTCTAAATACGACGAAGAATTTTGTATGCAAACAGAAGCTTATGTTTTACCAAAACATATTACTACACAACTACCATCTAAGTCAATACAAATAGGAGAGTGGCCGCATTTGAAAAACTTACAACTTGCTGATCCAGCATACAATAGACCAGCGCCGATAGATTTACTGCTAGGTGTAAATGAATATGCACAAATGTTACAAGAAGACTTAATAAAGGGACTGCAGAATCTCCGTGCGCACAAAAAACTGCTCTGGGCTGGATTTTGTTTGGCCGATTAGGAGAAGGAACATATAGCTCGCCATGTTTAATGGTAATGCACCATCAAATAGACTTAGACGAAATGTTGAAGACTATGTGGGAACTAGACAGTGAAAAAAGCAGAAAACTAACGAAGGAAGAAAAACTCTGTGAAGAAATATATGAAAAAACACACAAGAGAAATAAAGAAGGCAGATACATGGTAAATTTACCATTCAAAACTGAAAACCTGAAATCACCAGAAGGAAACAGTAAAGAAATAGCTTTGAGAAGATTTTTACAATTAGAAACAAAATTACAAAAGATGCCGAAATTAAAAGAAGATTACACGAAGGTTATACAAGAATATTTAACGTTAGGCCATGCTGATGAAATAACAGATAAGAGTCTTGAAAACAGAAGTGTTTATTTATGTCATCATGCGGTTATACGAAGTGACAGCGAAAGCACCCCGACGCGAGTGGTGTTTGACGCATCTTGCAAGGGCACAAACGGCATTTCTCTGAACGATGAACTACTTGTTGGTCCTGTATTGCAAGAAGATCTTCGCAGTATCATCTTGAGATGGAGGATGCACGCCGTATGCTTCTTCTCTGACCTGAAAAAGATGTATAGGATGGTATTAGTGGAAAGGAAACATACAGATTTTCAACGTATTTGGTGGAGAAATGACCCTAGTGAAAAAATGAAAGAATATCGTCTACTTACCGTCACTTTTGGCACCGCACCAGCACCGTATCTAGCAGTAAAGACATTGCAGCAGTTGGCAGAAGATGAAGGTTCAGCCTTTCCAGAAGCCTCTAGAATTCTGAAAGAAGATTGTTACATGGACGATGTACTTTCAGGGTTTGACAGCGTCGATGAAGCTGTAATTGCTGCTGCAGATTTAAAGGAGATATTAAAAAGAGGTGGATTCGAGTTACAAAAATGGTCGTCGAATAGCTTACAATTTATGAAATCTATTGAGCCCGAACAAAGATCAACAAGAGTACAACTTGACTTAAACATTAACGGTACTGTTAAAGCATTAGGTATCTTATGGAACCTGGCCAATGATAAATTTATGTATAATATAAAATTACCTTCTATTTCGAAATCGACTACTAAACGTAGTATTTTATCTGATATTCAAAAACTATTCGACCCGCTTGGTTGGATAGCTCCATGTGTAGTTGCAGCGAAAATATTAATACAGAAGCTATGGTTGCAAAAAATAGATTAGGACGAGGAAGTTGATCCCATATTTATAGAACAATGGATAAATATAAGACAAGATTTTGAAAATGCTAAAGATATATTTGTGGACAGATGGTTAGGAACTTTAACTAAAAACAACAAGAACATAGAATTACATGGCTTTTGTGATGCCTCTGAGAGGGCATATGCCTCGGTTGTTTATTGTAGAATAATCAATCTCGACGGCACAATAACTTCTGCACTTATTGCAGCGCGTACTAGAGTTGCTCCTGTGAAGTCAGTGTCCATACCAAGACTTGAGCTTTGCGGTGCAGTGTTACTGTCGAAATTATTAAAAAACGTAGCACAAGCAATGCGAATACCTGCATCCCAAATATGCGCTTGGACGGATTCGTCCATTGTCTTGTCATGGCTTTGTGGAGAATCTTCCCGCTGGAAGCAATTTGTTGCTAACCGGGTTATCGAAGTATTGGAAAACGTCAGTGACAAGCAATGGTATCACGTAACTTCTGAAGAGAATCCCGCTGATATCGCTTCACGTGGTGCTCTGCTCTCTCAATTAAAATTCTGCAAACTGTGGTGGGAAGGACCAGAATGGTTGAGAAAAGAAGAAATCAAATTTACAAGACCGAATCCTGTATCTGTTGAATTAGAAAGGAGGGTTATACAAGTAAATACAAAATTAAAAGACGAAAGTATAATAAAGTTTGAAAATTTTAACAATTTACGTGAACTTTTAACAGTAATAGTGTACAGTATGCGATTTTTAAGATACAAAACTAATCCGGAAGATATAGATAAACAAATGACAACACAAGAAATAGACGAAGCGTTGAAAAGGTGTATTAAAATAGCACAAAGAGATTTTAATGAAGAAATTGAATGTTTAAAAGCAAATAAAAATGTTAAGAGAAATAGTAAAATAAAAACATTAAATCCTTACCTTGACGAAGACGGCGTACTCAGGGTGGGCGGAAGATTGAGAAATTCTGTCCTACCAGAACAAACAAAACATCCTATAATTCTGAAAAATAAAAATGAATTCACTTACCTTATCGTCGCCAATGCACACAAAAGGACACTGCACGGTGGAACACAACTGGTCTTGACTTACCTTCGGTCAAAATATTGGATTCTGCAAGCAAAAAGTACAGTTAAAGCTTATATACATAAGTGTTTAATATGCGCTAGACAGAAGGCGTTAATTAAGACACAACTGATGGGAGACTTACCTCAAGCTAGAACTACTCCCGCACGTCCGTTTCAGCACAGTGGAGTCGATTTTGCAGGACCGCTGTATATTCTAATGTCTAAAGGACGTGGAAATAAAAGACTGAAGGCATACATAGCCATATTTATTTGTATGGCAACCAAAGCCATTCATTTGGAATTGGTGGGAGATCTTACTTCAGACTCTTTCATCGGTGCATTTCGTCGCTTTGTAGCTCGCAGGGTAAGCTGCACTCATTTATGGAGCGACCAAGGTAGAAATTTCGTGGGCGCTGACAGAGCCTTAGCTGAAGCTTTCAAAGAAGCTAAATTAGAACTTCCTGGGGACCTACATAAGCTGTTGTGTTTAGAGGGGACGCAGTGGCACTTTATACCACCTTACAGCCCTAACTTTGGGGGTTTATGGGAGGCTGGTGTGAAGTCCATAAAATACCATTTGCGAAGGATACTTACCACCAGTCTCACATATGAAGAGATGACGACCGTGTTGTGTGACATAGAAGCATGTTTAAATTCGCGTCCGTTGATTCCAATTGATAATTCAGATCCTGATGCACTACAACCTTTGACACCGGGTCATTTTTTGATAGGAGAGGCTCCCGTCAATATACCTACTCCTGATCTTAGAAACATCAATATCAATCGTTTGAATCGTTGGCAAATGACACAAAAGCTTGTTAGGGATTTTTGGCATCGGTGGCAGACTGAATATTTATCTAGGCTACAAACTAGACCTAAGTGGCTGAATAAACAATCAGATTTCAATGTAGGAGATATAGTGTTGCTTAAAGATGAACAATTGCCACCGGGCAAATGGTCACTAGGAAGGATCGTAGATAAACATCCTGGGCAAGATGGTTGTACCAGAGTGTATAGTGTTAAATGCAAAAATGAAATTGTCAAACGTTCTGTTAGTAAATTGTGTAAATTACCTGTCACAGAAGAGTGATTTTGAAATCTAATTTCTTAAGTAAAGCTTTTCTCTTGATGATAAATTTTGATACGAACATGTTATTATACTGGTATACTTGGTGATCTCAATACTTAAACATAAGGTGTTGCATGCTAAACTTCAGATTATTTTATATTAATTAGTTACACTTGTAAAATGCCTTATTTATTTAAAAGTCCTGTCGTACTTTGGTGGGCGGCATGTTGAGTTATAAAACGACGTCTCATGCTTATACAAAAATAGTGCTCAATAAATCATCTAAAAGGACACACGTATTTTCCTTGCACTCCGTGCCTGCAGTAAGACATCAACCCTATTGCCATCAGCATAAGCCACAGCTATGAATAGTTATCTTTTTACTTTTAAGTATTTGAATTGAAATAACTTGTATTACTAAAATGTTAGTGACAATGAAAGTTTAAAACAATATAAGTGTATATGCAGTCGGCTGCAATGGCTAATGTGACTGCGGGAAGAAGAGTTCGAGATAATAAGTCTTTAGTAACAAAGTTGCTTAACTTATACGAATGTAGACTAAACGCTTTGACTTCTTGCGTCATTATTAAATCTTACTCTTTGTTTAAAATTATCTTAACTAGATATAATACATTTCTACATTTCTCTTTCAACGGCTTAATGTGCCTTAGGGTTGGAGGAGTTCGAGATACTACATTTTGGTCATTCATCCGATGAGCATCCGTTGCGAAAGTGGTTTCATTTCCACGAGACTAATCATTTGCGTCACTGAGCTCCTTGACGTTTTTCTTATTCTATAATAATCACGAAAAAAGTTAAATAATTACCGATTTGTGTCTTTTGTGTGTAACCTATTGTTTATTAAGAAAAAAATCTTACGTCATTGGAGTTATGGAAGATCAGTGCTGTGATCTTTGAGGACTGACCATTTTAGCTATAACAATTTTGTACGCTTAGCCTCTGTATAATATAATCACTGTAGTAACCTCTCTGTACACTTAGTACGAACTATTGTCGAATTTGATCTAGATTTATGTCAAATATGTACTGATCTTGAGCTTTCTTTACCTCCGTTGTGGCGCTGCGGTTCAAGTTTCCATACAAGACAATACGACAGTGACATTTTGCACTCGCAAACGTAACGAATTCGATATCGGTTCGCGCTATAGGCAAAGTCGTATCTCGATGATTTGATTCGGTTTAAATGAAACTTTAAAAAATGTATTCACCATTTATATTTATAAACGTTATCGTATCCATATTATGTTAAGAATATTACTAGTCAGTGACTTATAGCACTATATAACCTATGTATGTATATTATTTATGGTGTACTCTCTCCGCTAAATAAAATGGTTGACTGCAAAGTATGGTTTCCTTTTAAACTTCAAACTTAATATATTAAACGCGGGGTGGGTATCATAGGCGGCGGGTTGGGCGGCACCCGGCGAGGCGGCGCCGACGTCAACATCAAGCACTCCGGCCGCGAGGACAACGAGCGCGAGAGGGAGCGCTACCGGCTCGAGCAACACCGCGCGCCGGAGCGTGAGTATACGGGGGGGGGGGACCAATCACGGGGCAGGGGGACCAATACGCGGGCCCAATACAAGCTACAGAGGGACCAATACACGGGGACAGGGGAACCGATACACGGGACAGGGGGATCGATACACGGGGAGAGGAGGATCAATATACGGGGACAGGAGGATCAATACACGAGGACAGAGGGATCAATACACTGCGACAAGGGGATCAATACTGTTATGTTATGTATATATGTGTACTTATGTATGTATTCTATCCGTTAGTATCCCATAACACAAGCCTTATAGTGCTTACTTGGGGCTAGGCTAATTGGTGTGAGTGTTGGAAATATTTATTTATTATTTATTTTATTATATGTACTTAATTTCCATTGCTATTTTGTTATGTTCGATATTCATTGGGTTAAGTTATCTGAATTACTGACAGATTTCCAAGTTCCTGCTTCTTCGTAGACAACTTTAAATACTCTAGGGACTGTTCAAATATTCAAAATAAGCATAAGTTTTGAGTTTTATTTCATTGTTATGTGCTGATTAGAATTGGCATGTTTTGCCGAATAGTCGCCGACTATAAGCGAAGCCGAATAGTCGTCTTTCCCGACTAGTCGGCCCATCTCTAATAGGGATGATGACTAATTTTTTTTCTTCGTTTATCAGGTAGATTATCAAAAAATATTGGACACGTATTTTTTCTTTTTTCACATAATATAAACATTGCAGAGATATATTGATTTGAAAAGTCGCATGACGTCACGTTTGTGTACACTTATAAGTGAAAATTCACTCAAAAGTGACGTCACGAGCCCCTACTGCCAAACTTTGACGCGCTATAACTTTGTCATTTTTTGGTTGATTGCCGAAAGAAAAAATACGTGTCCATTATTTTTTGATCATCTAACTGACGGACTAAATAGAATTTCGTTTACTGTACCCCGTCATCACCCCTATTGATATATGCATACATCTCCTTCTGCATACTCTCGTCCATTCTTCTGGCTTCGTCTCCTACTCTTTCACTGTCACGGCTCTACGACTCTGGAATGACTTGCCTTCCAATATACGTAAAGTTCCTAACAAACTTGCATTTAGGGGATTGGCTCGTGAGTACTATTTCAATTGCACTAAACAGTGTTCTCATATTTGACTGACATAATCGTATACTTATCGTACTTTCGAACCCGTTGGACCGAATGCAACGGGTTTTCAATTTGGATATTATATGGTCTATTATATCTTTATATATATAATTCTTCTGTGAGTGTGTATGTCACTGAACTTCTCTTAAACGACTGGACCGATTTTGATGAAATTTTTTGTGTGTGTTCAAGGGGATCTGAGAATAGTTTAGATTCACAATTTTATCCGCTGGACAATGTTTTGTTAATTAATTTTTAATTTATTAGTAGTTGTTGATTTTGGAATGTTTTACATTGGATCCGACAGACGGCGCTACCATACTAGACAGGACAACGTCTGTCGGGTCCGCTAGTATATTATATATATAAAGTCTAAATAAAAGGGAGACTTTTTTTTATGAAAGTAAATTTTAACAATTAATCCACTTTATAGCACTGTCATTTTAAAATAATATATATATATATATAAATGTATATATATGTGTATTATATGTATGTGCGTATTCTGTTCTGTGTATTTGTATCCTTGGTTTATTTTACATTTGTCTTTATTGCGCCCCCGTCATATTAGTTTTTTCTCCCGTTTGACCGGTCGACTGGTGGAGAATGCCTTATCTGTTATTTAGCGATAAAGTTTAAATAAATATATATGTAGGTCGTCGCCGCACCCGCTCCCGGTCTCGTCGTCGCTCCACGTCCCGCTCTCGGCGCCGAGACCGCGAGCGAGACCGCACCAAGGACAAGGACGACGACAAGGACAAGGAGGATAGGTGAGGACTACGGACATACACATACACACACACGCGGCAACTATACTACACTCATCCGACACACTCATACACGAACATGTATAATGCGATTCAACTAACAATAGGACCGACTGGCCACCATATTGTGACGTCATAGCTGTCAATTCAAACCAAATAGGTAGAGTGAGCAAAAAAAAGTTTTTATTTAATAAAAAACTTATTAACTAAGATTAAGTGAGGAAAAACATCAGATTTTTAATAATATTTCTTTAATTAGATTGTGTGAGAAAAAGCATTAATCAGAATCTAGCCCTTCAATTCCGCTCATCTCTGCTTTACCGCCGGAGTAGTTATGAATAATCATGCAGGTCACATACGAACATGCATCCTTTACGTAAACGAAAGTTTTAAATCGAGTTTCTGAACGCAACATAAAGTGACATTCGGTTGACGATTTAGGTCATCAACCATTCATAGCCAAAGCTCAATAAAAAAAATATCAACCAATATTAACTATCAATATTTGTTACTGTTTGTTTAATCAAATCAAATCGAATCATCTTTATTGCGAATACAGGTTGCAGAGTTGTTACATAGATACATGCTAATACAGTACAGCCATATTCTGCCTTATCGGCATGCAATATAATATTTCTATAAAACATTAATTATTTCAATGTCACATTAATAAATTTTACATAGTTAATTCAAAATGTCAATAAGTGATAAATATATGATTGAAATTATTTCATGCATGTCATTTTCTATATTAGTCTAAAAACTTTTGTCTTCCAAAAATTCACGCACCGTATAGTAACATTTTTCTATTAAAAAATGTTGTAATTTCTTTTTAAATATATTGGTCACGGTAATTTCTCGCACACATTCAGGTAATTTACTATAAATAATAGGAGCATTGCAAACCACACTTTTCCTAAATAGTGCCGTATTACAGGGGACTACACAAAGTTTTCCAATATGACGTTCACGAGTTCTGGCCTTAAATATTTTAATATTACTTTTTACAAAGACAGCGCATTCAAAAATGTAAAGGCACGGCAGAGTCAATATTTTTAACCTCTTAAAAAACGGTGCACATGATTCTGTTAGTGGTAGATTAAACATAGCTCTGATGCATCTCTTTTGCACCTTGAATGCAGTGGTTGCGTCAGTAGAATTTCCCCAAAATATCAATCCATATCGTAATGTCGGTGCTGCTTTCCCATAATACGCTGTCAACAAAGTCGATTCATTAGCCATTTTCCGTAAGTTATATAAAGCATAGGAAAACTGACTCAGCTTAGTACATACGTGTTCAACATGATATTTCCATTTTAGTCTAGAATCTATGAGCAGCCCTAAGAACTTTGTCACTTGTATTTCACCAATTTTTTTACCATCATAGTTAATATTTAATGCAAAATCTTTAGTGTTTTGCTTAAAATACATTATTTTAGTTTTGTCCAAATTAATTAATAAATTATTATTATTAAGCCAATTAATTATACATGTCAAAGAATTATTTATGTCATTTTCAAGATTAATTAAATTAAAGTTATCAAAAACAACAGTACTATCGTCAGCAAATAAAGTAACCTGATGGTTCAATACTGAGGGGAAATCATTAATATAAGCTAGAAAAAACAAAGAACCTAGTACGCTTCCTTGTGGAACTCCATGGGTAACAGTCCTAAAATTTGATCGATATGCTTTTTCAATCTTTGTCTTGCTATCTATTCTAGTTATTTCTGTTGATTGCTTTCTTCCTATCAGGTACGATTTTACAAGGTCGTGTATTTTGCCTCTAACGCCATAACAGTACATTTTTTGCAATAAGATCTTATGATCAACTGCATCGAATGCTTTTTTTAAAAATGTTTGGTTTTTATTCTAGAATTAGCTGAGTGCTAAAAAAGTGCTTCGAGATTTTTTTGCAAACCGTACTTTTCAAGCGACATTTGACAGACGGAGGTCATTGGCTTTCCTATTCTTATTTGAATCGCATTATACACAAACTAGCGTTGCCACATTATTTTTTTGCCAAGTCGAGATTTCGGGGACTTCTTTCGTCAAAAGCAAGACTTATAAAAAAAACGTTTGATTATTTTTTCTTTTTATTTAAGTTTAAAATACGTTTACGTGACAATAATAGGTATTTACTATAAATATCCATAGAAAATTTGTTTTAATGAAAATATGATATTTTATAAATCAGATTTACCCTATCGTTTAGTGATGTAACGAATGTCATTTTTTGAACATTCGCGAATGCAAATGCAAATATTTAGTTTTTTTTTAAATTGGCGCCAATTGTCCATGGCATAGTGGCAGTCTCGTTCGAATTGCCGAGTTGATATGAACTCATCCGACTGAAGTGTCATTCCGCTCGCGCCGGTCTTTCCGTAAACAAAACAAGTTAATTTTGAGGTTAGTGATTGTGAGTGGTAATAGCGATTTATTAACATGAGTAAATCGAATTTAGTGAAACATGGACTTATTTCACACTTTGTGATGCTGAACGAGCTAAATGCAAACTGTGTAACAATGAATATTCAAGGAAAGGCAGAACTACAACTTCTTCAAATTGTTTTTTTCTAATATTCATATTCGCAAAACATTCGCAGAGATTTTGCGAATGCGAATGCGAATATTCGTTACATCACTACTATCGTTAAATAGTTGAGTGTTTGTTTGAGAGTTGTTCATGACGCGCCGGGCAGGGTGCCATTCGCCTAACGGAAATGCTTTGGAAAACGCTAACGCTTACGATTTCATTTTGTTATTTCTAGCCGCCTGAGGTTTTCAAATGCCTCGCGCTCATTTCTGTTCTTTTGCATTGGTGATAACAATATTAAAGAAAATGAGCTTGAGGTATTTTAAAAACCTTCGGCCGGTCAAAAATAAAAAAAGTGCGTGTACTAGTGTACACACGTAAGAAGTGAAACTTCTTTATGGCCTTATTTTTTTCGAAAAATGATCTACATGCAACTTTCCAGAAATATATATATAGGCGTGCGCTAAGATTTTTCAAAAACTCACCCACTAAAGGGGTATAACTACACCTTAACTTACCTTACCTTACCTTACCTTACCTTACCTTACCTTACCTTGTGTGAAACACGAATATTTGCTGTCGATACTTTTTTTTTTTAAAGTTGACAGAAGAAGCAATTGTTCGGATGAGGTAAATAGTGCTCTTTTAAAAAAAAGATGGCGCGTAACCAAAAAACGTGACGCGTAACCGAAAAAATGTGACGGTAATTTTTTTTCCAACGCCGATAAAGAAGTTTCACTTCAAAATCGAAAGCGTTAGCGTTTTCCAACACATTTTCATGAGGCGAATGGCATCCTGGTGGCCAGTCTGCACTTGTTCGGGCCCCCCTCTTTTTTGAGCAAATTCGTTGAAAGGAATTACAGTATAAAAATTTCCTTTTCGTCTTACAATAGACTGAGAGATGGAAATCTGCGTTTGTCTGTTTTCGTATTGAAAATAATTATAAGTTGTGAGTATTTGGGAGGCGTTCAAGTATTACTTAACGTAATATGGGTTCTTTTAAAACGTTACTATGAGTTTAACGTAACGTTGTTTTTGGAGTTTACTCCTTAAGAATCGATTTGCATATATAAGGGGCCCGGTATGAGAAAAATGTGAGGAGTGAAATCTATCGATGAATGACATTAATGACCTCGTTACGTTTTTGTGCGCAACCTCATCTGCGCACCTTTCACTTTACAGAAAACGTTACGGTGCGTAACATGGGGGTACGGGGGTTAAAAAACTTCAAAATTTGCGTTACTTAATACTTGAACGCTCCTTTATTAACGTGGAAATGTTCAATTTCACTCATTCGAAATTTCTTCAATATTTAGACGTCGTCGTCGTTCGCGGTCTCGTTCCGATCGTCGTCGGAACCGCGACAGCGGCGCCAACGCCAACGCTGGCGCCGCGCGGGAGGGGAGGGAGGACCGCAAGCGGCCGCGCCGGGACCGGGAGCGGGACCGGGACCGGAAGGAGCCCAAGATCAAACCGGAGGAGGTCAAGGTCAAGGCCGAGCCCATGGATGGTGAGTGTATCGTGTGTATATACACACATGATCATCATCAGGGAGGGGAGGGAGGACCGCGCCGGGACCGGGAGCGGGACCGGGACCGGAAGGAGCCCAAGATCAAACCGGAGGAGGTCAAGGTCAAGGCCGAGCCCATGGATGGTGAGTGTATCGTGTGTATATACACACATGATCATCATCAGGGAGGGGAGGGAGGACCGCGCCGGGACCGGGAGCGGGACCGGGACCGGAAGGAGCCCAAGATCAAACCGGAGGAGGTCAAGGTCAAGGCCGAGCCCATGGATGGTGAGTGTATCGTGTGTATATACACACATGATCATCATCAGCCTGAACCTATAGACCAGTGTTTCCTAACCTTTCCAATACTGCTACCCCTGTAACCTATTAGGAAAACAGATTTGACCCCGACTTTAAAATGTTATCATCAGTCCAAGAAATTCCAATTTGGCCGCTACATCTTCGTCTCTAATAATGTCATCATCAGGAAAAAATCTCGGCCCGCTTTCCACACTCGGCACCCAGCGGGCTCGCTAGCAAGAAGGAGCGCATGCTCTATTTAGTAGTATTATTGTAAAGTAATTTATTACTATTTAGATTTGACCAAATAATTAGGTTCTTTGTTACCCCCGAAGTATGGCTGATTTACCCCCCGAGGGGTAATTACCCCCAGGTTCGGAACCCAGGGAATAGGGAGATTGAGCCATGACCCACCACGCGAGCCCATTGGTGGGTGCTGACGACTGCAGATGCAGCCGGGACCGACGGCTTAACGTGCCTTCCGAAGCACGGAGGAGTTAGAAATAGTAAATTTTTGGTCACCCATCCAATGACCGACCACTGCGAAAGTTGGTTAGCTACAACGATCGCAGCCGAACGCGCTAGCCACCTACGCCATCGAGCTCCTCTAAATAATATATACATGTATGTTCTTATACGTATATCATGTACACATATATATATTTAAATATATATATACATACAGATGGAGCTAAAGAAGTTTCACTTCAGTCGTGTGGTAATAAGCACACTCGTTTCTTCCTATTTAAATTTTCTTTAGATTTATCACATACTAGCGGCCCGCCCTCGCTTCGCTTCGGTGTAGAGCTGAAGTGTAGACTACAGTTTTTGTTCTCAGGCTTGTATTATACACAATGACATTCATCTATGATTCTTCTTATACCTGCATGCAAAGTCTCAGCCCGATCGGTTTAAAATTGATAAAGTTTCATACAAACTTTCATTCCTTATTTTATCCCCTTGGGATTTTCTTTATATTTTGACGTGACAACGTCTTAAATTAGGTTGCGGCTCGGAGTCACTTATGAAAAAGTGTAACGCTCGGTAACGTTACGATGAGTCTCTCGTGTTAAGTTTAAGTTTACATGTACAATGTTTTAGTAAACAAAATATATTTCTATAGTTAAAATTTGTGCAATTCTTATTTTCATTCAATTCCTTGTTCCTATTGTGCAATTTAATTATATTCATATCAATAAATATTCTACCGAGAAAAAGACGTTGTCACGTAAAATCTTCGCCCGTAAAACCGACTTTACAGGCAACCATTTTTTTTCCGTAAGAACCTTGTACAGAGTATTAGAAAACTACAAAAAAAACAGCCAAATCGGTCAAGCCGTTTTCATGTTATGTCGTGACAACGGAAAACGGGTTTCATTTTTATATATATAGATTTGACGACCTCCGTGGCCGAGTGGTTTGTACGCCGGGTTTCATGGCGTCGCCGACTCGAGAGGTCCCGGGTTCGAATCCCGGTGGGGGCAGATGTTTGTGTGATGAATACGAGCATTTGTACTCCAGTCATGGATGTTTAATATGTATTTCTATATAAATATACTTATATATGTACAGTATATGTGTTCTATCCGTTACCCTAGCATCCCATAACACAAGCCTTACAGTGCTTACTTTGGGGCTAGGCTAATTGGTGTGAGTGTCGGAAATATTTATTTATTTATTTATTTATATAATTTTTCAGTTAAACACTTAAAATATAATAAAGTATAAATGTTTGTATCCGTAGATTACCCGGAGTTCAGTATACCCCCCATGGACGTTCAGATCAAGCAGGAACCGAGGGACGATGACCACAAGTATCACCCGGATAACAACGGAGACCACTACGATTATTGATGGTGAGTGTGTGCCACTATACTACTACACTGCAATACATGTTTGGAGTTTACTCCTTAAGAATCGATTTGCATATATAAGGGGCCCGGTATGAGAAAAGTTTGAGGAGTGAAATCTATCGATGAATGACCTCGTTACGTTTTTGATGCGCATCCTGTTTCGCGCAACTTTGACAAACAAAGATGACGGATTGACATTAATAAAAATTTTAAAATTTGAACTGAATTTAGATATTGTTTCTGATAGAGCAATGGGGGCAACGAGGTATCTGCGAACGTCCATGTGTCTTATTTTAGTTACCATAAACCACTTGTCACTGTGATTAATAATGCAGACAATGTTGATTTAATTAATATTTAAAAAATGATAATAGTCTGATAATAATAATTACATAATTTATCAACATTCCTAATGATATATTTATGCACATCTGAAATTGACTATTGTAAAAAGTTTAATGTAAAATATTTCGTCGATTAGTTATAATAAATGTATATGAAATGAATGAATATATATTTATATATGTATGTTTTCATTAATTTGTTAGTTTACCCTTTCATACAGTATCAATCTTTTTTAAGTTAAATAAACTCTTTTTGCGTCTGGTTAGACTATCGAACTTAAGGAGTAAACTCCAGTCGTGCGTCGGAGCTGACACACACAATTTTTTTCTTAGCAAATGACATAGCAATATACAGGGTGTTACAAAATTACAAATAATGTTTGAAGGACGTTGAAGTACATCGTATAATAAATATATATTATTATATTATTTTGATTATATTATTTTTTTTATCAATGATTAATAAAAATATCGATCCTTTTAAGTCACGGCACTAGTTCGAGGGTCATTAAAAATAACTGTTTTCATAAAAAGTTAAAACTTCATGCAAATATTTTAAGAAAATTAGAGAACACTCCTTGTACGATGTACTTCAACGCTTTTCAAGCTTTATTTGTATTTTTGTAACACCCTGTATACAAATCTGTAAATAATAATAATTTATTTCACAAGCCAGTTTTACAAGAATCGTACAACACAATATACAGTCCCTTAGCACGAGTTTGAGCTCACGAAAACTATCATAGTTTTCATAATTGTAAATTATGTTTCTATGTCCATTTTGGTGAAAAGTAACCAAATATACTTAAAATTTAAGAAGACGCAAATGATTTAATGATAGAATTTAAACACTGTCTATTTGTATTGAAACGAAAACAATAAAATCAGTACCCTTAGTACGAGTGCGAGCTCACGATAACTATCATAGTTTTCGTAATTGTAAAACTCGTACTAAGTGTACAGTTGTATAAATAGAATTCAAATTCATAAAGCCGAACATATAGTACATATACAAACTTAAATGAAATACAAACGTGAGATGCGTGGAACATACTACTGACAACTTAACTACAATACAATATATCTAGGCTTGGCAGTTGCCGGGAAAACAAGGATTGTCCCGGAATTTTGCGTCTCGGCCCTTGACTAGTAATAGGGTATTTGACAAGTTTTGGAAAACGATCTCACGTTATTGACTAATGTTTATGGAGTCCGTAAAAAGTAAATATTCATCATTCTGTTGTGTATTTCAGTAAAAATAACAAAATCAAAATCTCCATTTTCAAGTTGCCGCGAAAACGTTTCTCTGGACAATATGGCGTCTTACTAGTGTGTGACGTCACACGACTGTTATTAAAACGTCAAACGTAACAATGTAATGTCACTTTAACCGGAAGTTTACTTGCGCGTGACGTCATTTTAGGTTCCGCGTTTTGGTTCACGTGACATTAGATAAGAAAACTATTGTCTTTTTCGTGGGTTTTTAGTAAAATTATGAATATTTTTTTTGGTAAAAATAGTAAATACAGATGCTAACAATTGACACTTTATTTTTAATGCTGTCAAATACCCTATTATGTATTTTTAACTATTGCATTTTTCTATGGAATAGTTGTTATTTTGTTTGATGACATATTTTATGTTATTTTATTGTTTGTTCACAGACAAAACGCGGGAGAACCGTCACTTTCGGTTTATGAATCGTGCATCAGTCTCAATAAGCTGCTTTGAACAATTACTGGCAACACTCTTTAATAGAAAAATTCATTTACTGCTAGTATCAGAATGTTTTTATGTGAAACTTATTAATTTGTATTAAAATATCAGTGTTTTTTTTTATTTACAAAAAAAGAATGAACTTAATTTAATTTAATATTGTGATTAGCACAAATTTTGAAAGTTCAATAACTTTGTAAAAATATCGAAACAATGTCCCATTTGTATATAATATTCATTTAATGTTCAAGATGAACATCATCTTCTTGTCGTCCTTTTTCAATCTCATCATGCCGAACGAGACAGACATATAAAATGTAAGGTTTAATTTGCCTCACCATAGATTTTAGAGTAATTTTAAGCTTTATTTTAATTAAATAAAAATTCTAGATGTCTAGATTTTTGTTTGTTATTCATTGAGCCCTGTTAAATTTAGTCACTATATAATTATTGAAAATTAACTAGTTACTTTGTAAACTGACGATAAAATGTGAAGGCATTATACAACAAGTTGATGAATTTAAATCTTCAGTTTAGACACATGCAAATGCTAGCGTCAGATTTCGCATGTCATTCGCCGTTCATAATATAACTGGAGTTTACAATTTAACTAGGCGGATTATAAACGTTTATATGGGGACGGACAACCGATTGCGCTACAAAACTTAGCACTGACTCCATGTAACATAATTTTCCTCTTTCTCTGCTAACAAAAGTGTCAATGACTAGGGTCATTTACACGTTGGGCGCCAAAAATTTGCCTTTTAGTCATATCAAGATTTTCTCAATAATAACTACAAGGAGTAGATTTCAAATGTATATAATAGCTACGTTTCGGTATTTACGTCGCAGAGGCGCCGGATTTTTGGTCACATAATCTCAGCAAATCACTATTAACGAACGACGAGACCGACTGCAGATTAATTTCTAACCTCGAAACAGAAAACTAACCTCACAACATGACAGATTAATCGGTGGTAAATTTGTGGTGTGTTATTAACTTGTACAGATATTTCCAAAAGTTAGTTATTGTATATTCGTATGGCAGACATATAAGTACTTTTTTCAAAAATTGCTGGATATGATCGAGGTAAATGTAATTTGAACGATTCAGACTTAAAAGATTGATCTGACGCAAATACCGAACGCAGCTATTATGGGAGTTTTTTTTTCTTGCCACTCATTAATGTGACGGACAGACATATTTGCATAGTTGACATGGGCCGATCATATTGAACACGTGTGTGATAATTTACGAGCACTTCTTGCAAAGTTTTCTATACTTAAACATAAAATTCCTTATCCTATATTGTTATATTTATATAAATCACTGGGGGAATCGATAATTTCTTATGGACTGAGTAGCTATGGACGTACTGCGAAATCACATTTACATCGCATCTATGAACTTCAAATGCGCATTTTAAAAACCATTGTCCCTCGTAAAGTGAGGGAAAAATGTAAAAACAATTATCACGTATTGTTCTCTTACTGCTCATTGATGCCGGTTCAGGAGAAATTTAAATATAACATCTTAACAGAACAATTCTTCAATACTGATATTCAAAAGGTTTCATCTCATAGTAAGTTAACTCGAGGCGTTGCAAATAATAAATTATTAATTCCAAAATCAAATAACCTATATGGGCAACGAACATTACAATTCATTGTTCCAAATTTAGTAAATAAGTTACCATTTGAAATAAAAAAATGGGTGCGTGTACTTATGTAGGCGCGTGAGAAGTTATCCTTCTTTGGCATCGTTTAAAATTAGTTTTTAATTGCATGCAAATAATTAATTACAATAAATTAATAAAAAGTCTGGAAAAGGACACAGTCAAATAAATAATCAAAATATTCAATTAAAATCGCTACTGAATATAATTTATTAGAACATATGTGATTTGCACTTGTATGAAACTCAAACACGTATTCCGAATATACAAACTAGAAACATGTGGATAAATATTATAAATATGAATACCTATAACTGTTACTTTATTACAAAAAATAAAGATGTGGTTTTTGGTTCTACTACACCAATGGTCAAGAGATGGCGCTGTAGTCTCCTGAATCGCGCTTTGGTTCCGTTGTTCCAGATTAATAAATACTTTTGATAGGCCTTCACAATGCAGTCGTTAGCACCCACTAAATAGAGATTCTATTTCTATTTTGTTGGTAGATTTTCTTAATGTGCGGTAAACACAAAAGTACTTTTTGTGTTACAGTGATGCGCGCGCATCTTAAAATTTCACTCTCATCATTTTTTCATAACGCGCCTAAAGAAGTATAACTTCAAAAAAAAAGACCAACTGCAAATTTCTAACCTCAAACAGTAACTAAGCTCACAACATAACAGATAACCAGATTAATAGATTGAACCGGACGAACTCCGTGGCCGAGTAATTTGTACGTCGGGTTTCAAGGTGTCGCCGACTCGAGAGGTTCCGGGATCGAATCCTGGTGGGGGCAGATGTTTGTATGATAAATACGAGCATTTGTAATTCAGTCATGGATGTTTAATATGTAATTCTATATAAATATACTTATATATGTACAGTATATGTATTCCATCCGTTACCCCTAGTATCCCATAACACAAGCCTACAGTGCTTACTTTATGGCTAGACTAATTGGTGTGAGTTTAAGAAATATCTTCTCTAAATATAAAACTCAAAGGTTACTGACTGACATAGTGATCTATCAACGTACAGCCCAATCCACTGGACGGATCGGGCTGAAATTTGGCATGCAAGTAGATGTTATGACGTAGGCATCCGCTAAGAAAGGATTTTGATCAATTCTACCCCCAAGGGGATAAAATAGGGAATGAAAGTTAGTATGAAACTTCGTCAATTTTAACCGATCGGGCTGAGACTTTGCATGCGGTCTTTCATAAGAAGAATCATAGATGAATGTCATTGTGTATAATACAAGCCTGAGAACAAAAACTGTAGTCTGCACTTCAGCTCTACACCGAAGCTAAGCGAGGGCGGGCCACTAGTTTATTATAATCTTTGTCGACGGCCAAGATACTCTGAGCGAACCGATTTACATTGGACACTAGATCGCTCGATGTAATAAACGAACAATTTAGACTAAAATTATTGATCAGACGTAAATACCGAACGCAGTTACCATACCATTCATTCATTCACTATTTTATCCCCTTGGGGGGATAAATGGGGAATGAAAGTTTGTATGAAACCAGCGGGGTACAGAATTAAGAGTCTGTGCGGAAAGAGAATGGGATTTAGTTTGGAGGGCGCTGTAGTGCTTTTCTACCGTATTTGTAAGGTTTTACCCCTTTTAGACATGATTAAATACATAAAAACCGCAAGAAATCACAATAACAAACAAATCCGTATCAATACCAAACTTTGACGTTTTACAGATCGCTGGGTTTGATTGACAAATAAAGATCTTAATGTTATTTTAGTACCGTTTTTCGCCACGCCATTCTCTTTCCGCACAGACTCTATCAACTTTTATTTCATGCATCTGGGATCTTTATGTCATTATTGGATTGAAATAACGAAATACATAGTAACCATTTATTACTATATAACAATAACAAAGAGCTACGCTCTTACAAAAACATAATAGGCGAGGTATTAGGAAATTAATTCTATATTTATTAGAATTAGTTCACACCGAGACAAAAAAATGTCCAATAACGAGTGGTAGGGAAGAAAAATTTGGATGTTTCAAAAGAGTTGTACTATACATCCAATTTGAATAAAGATATATTGATTTCTAATTCAAACGCGGCGCTCACGTTTTCTAATTTTTTATTTTTATTTATTTGTGTTCAGGCATCGTAGGCCCATAGAAATATATATTACCCGTCTTTCCCAGTAGGCCCCCCTCAGATCAAATACAAAGTCCCTAGTTCCTGTTAAATCACCAAACGGAAGTCATAGGGACCCCATTATTCTAATACTAGCAAACCAGTAAACCAAATGTTCACCAAAACCTGATTTAAATATATATATATATATATATTTAATTAATTGAGAACTTCGGAGATTTTGTGTGGATTTGTGTGGATTTTGGAAATTCGTGATTTCTCGAAAACCGGAAGTGCTACGTTACTCAAATCCGGTTTGTAGTCTTATCAGACTATTCTTAACTTATAACTTAAATATTCTCTTTTTTATTATTTTTAAAGCATGTAACTGCTTGATGTTTAAATCTAAAGAAAATATAACTAGAAAAAATTCCACGCGGACCAGGCAGCAGACGGGACTCGAACCCGCACCCTTCGCAATCCGGACGAATGCACTGACCAATTATGCTACCGCGGCCCTCACGGACCGCGTCGAAATTCCTTCTAGCTATTCTTAAGCTGCAAGGCAGCGCCATCTCTTCGCATTATATAATTGGTCAGTGCATTCGCCCGGATTGCGAAGGGTGCGGGTTCGAGTCCCGTCTGCTGCCTGGTCCGCGTGGAATTTTTTCTAGTTATATTTTCTTTAGATTTAAATATTCTCTTTATCCATCTCTTACGATTTGGCCGCTGACACAGCACCACAGACAGACGGACGGACTTGTCTAATAGATAAGAGATGCTCAGGGCCTCCAATAGGTCAAAGACGGCACTGGATATTGCTATAAGGTAGCGGCCAAGTTCTTGCACAAAACCTCAGTCAATATAAACTTGGGCAATGGACGTTATTGTATTAAAACAAATATAAACCGGGTGTATACAAAATACAACTTTATTCACCAGATAAACAAAAAGATACACATTTGATTGAGGTAATACAAAAATGCCAGCACCAATGCCGTGCAATCAAATTGTATCTACAGGGTGTAAAAAACCTATAACAAAATCGAAGGTCACGTATTTTCCACATCATGATGATCATTTTTTTCTTCTGGACCATACCTGGGAAATTTATGGTTATGGAGATAATGAAGGTCAAAGTCAAAATTTTTGAAGTTATACTTCTTTAGGCGCGTTATGAAAAAATGATGAGAGTGAAATTTTAAGATGCGCGCGCATCACTGTAACACAAAAATTAACAGATCCAAGTTCATGCTGTTACTTTTGTGTTTACCGCACATTAAGAAAATCTACCAACAAAATAGAAATAGAATCTCTATTTAGTGGGTGCTAACGACTGCATTGTGAAGGCCTATCAAAAGTATTTATTAATCTGGAACAACGGAACCAAAGCGCGATTCAGGAGACTACAGCGCCATCTCTTGACCATTGGTGTAGTAGAACCAAAAACCACATCTTTATTTTTTGTAATAAAGTAGCAGTTATAGGTATTCATATTTATAATATTTATCCACATGTTTCTAGTTTGTATATTCGGAATACATGTTTGAGTTTCATACAAGTGCAAATCACATATGTTCTAATAAATTATATTCAGTAGCGATTTTAATTGAATATTTTGATTATTTATTTATTTTTTCAAATTAAAACTGAACTTTATTGACTGTGTCCGTTTCCAGACTTTTTATTAATTTATTATAATTAATTATTTGCATGCAATTAAAAACTAATTTTAAACGATGCCAAAGAAGGATGACTTCTCACGCGCCTACATAAGGACACGCACCCATTTTTTTCAAGATTTATACATTAATATTTTCAAAACGTTATTATGAAACTTTTTATCGACGCACTTACACACACGCACACACATACACACAGACAAATTCTTTGCGTAGCGCCACAGTAGCACGCTGCGCTCTACATTGCGTACTGGAAAAAAAATGTACTTTTTTAACTTAAAAATACAATTTTTTCCCAACTTTAATATTTTGTAATGTGACTTGTTTGGGTGTACAGAATGCGTTGTTTAAGTCTTTGTCATAGGTTTTTTTACACCCTGTATTTATTTAGCAAATTAAGTTTTATTTCGTAGAGCTACTTAAAAAGAGCGCGCCGCGCCGCGTCCGTCTCTGTGTGAACTAGCCCTTACCAAATAAGCTGCACACTAAAACTGTGAAGTTAATATAATTTTAATTTGTACAACAGAAAACTAATAGTATTGAAAAATAATTTTCTGTGACGATGAGGCTTCAAAATAAATATTATTTTATTTTATGTTCGAAAATAGTAACAATAATAATGATAATAATCATGAGAGCAACTCTTCGCACAGGATATCAAATAAGATACTTATATTTTTAAGCATTTAGCTGCTAGGGTTTTGAATCTAAAGAAAACATTTTCTTAGGATGTAGGTTCGAGTCCTGTCTGCCGCCTGTTACACGTGGAATTTTTTCTAGCAAAAATTTTCTTTACATTTAAACGTCAAGTAACTTTTAAGTCTAATAAGGGCTGTTTTCAGTTCAGATTTACTTTAAACAGGTGGTTAACGATAGCAGGAATGCCCTTATATCTGGTCTGGACCTAATCGCTAACTTTTTTGAAAACTTTAAATAAAGGGAAAATTACATATCCATCGATGCTTTTCAGAACAAGTATCTTAGTGGCGTTTTAATAAAGGAGTTATGGCTCACTAAATAGCTTAGTTATTATAACTTCAATCCGTCAAAATCATTTAGCGAATAGGCCCATTGGTATTCTTTGAATAATTTCCACATTTCAATAAACCAAACCTTTACTTCTGTGTTCAGTTCTTAACATAATATATTGCTTTAATATAACACAAATCATTTCTTCAGAATTTACAATAAAATTGTCACAACTCTCCGATTGATACTCAACCTCAACACTCACTTTTAAAGTTCAATAGCACTTAAATGTTCACTTAAAACGATGGATTTCCAATGTTTTTACAATTTAGTTCGTACTAAATTGTAAAAACATTGGTATCGATTCTGACATGATTCTCTAAACTTAAACCTAAATTTAATATCAGTCTCTCCTTTTCATTCTGTATAGAGAATGACAAGGATACACTGATGTCGAATTTAAGTTTAGGTTAAGAGAATCATGCCAGAATTGACACCATTGGCTCCCTTATTCCAAAAAGCAGACCAAAATTCTTAGTCTTAGTTTAAACCTAACGCTGGCTCTGTCTTCTTTTGGCAATCAAAAGTGACAATATCAAATTTAGTCCAGGTTTAACTTTAGTCCACATTTGTATTAAGGCGGGGGCGGTTTGTTCATAAAAGTTTTCACTATAACATATTTTTCACTTTCAAGAAACATATCTTCATTTCTCCCTTAACTGTCCCGCAGAATATTATTGTCACATAATCACAACATTAGCACAAATCTATCACTGAATCACTATCGTTTTCGTATGAAAACCTTGCTTTTTTATTATAATATCTTCTGCCGGTTTTCCCTCTCATTGGCTGCAGCAAATCCTTCTCGTCGGACAATTGTCCAAATGCTTGTGTGAAGGCATTTGGTCTCATATTCGGTATTCGTGGACGTATGCTTGCATATGTTCGGTGCTTTTTTGTGTTTGCGTCCGTGGCTATGGGATCTAATGCTGGTTCTACGGTTAAAAACTGCTCAGCGTTGGGGTCCGTAGCGTCCTGCGTGAAGAAACGTAAGGTTAGTTAACTTGGGCGCGATCGTGGATGTTAAGCAACTTTCACTATGGTCAATCATTGGATGGGTGACCAAAAACTTATTATCATGGTGGGTCCCTGCATGCTGCATCTGCAGTTTTTAACAGCCAGCAATTCGCAGGGGGCTTGCGTTATAGTTCACGGCCCAATCGTCCTATTCCATCCATAGGGAAGGCGTGTGCCCCAGCATTAATAGGCTGATGGTGGTGATGGTGAAATAATCAATTATATAAAATGTTTTTAAAGGCCCCTGCTGGGGCACAGGTCGTCTCTACAGATACTAAAAAGAGATCGGTACATGACGAAATATGCGGGCCCAGTGCGGATTGGTGGGTGTTGACGACTGCAGATGTAGCCGGGACTGAGGGCTTAACGTGCCTTCCGAAGGAGGAGTGGGAGATAATGATGGAGACCTCCGTGGCAGAGTACATACGCCGGGTTTCAAGGTGTCGCCTTCTCGAGAGCTCCGAGAGGGTTCGAATCCCGGTGAGGGCAGATGTTTGCGTGATGAATACGAGCATTTGTACGCCAGTCATGGATGTTTAATATGTATTTCTATATAAATATACTTTTAAATGTATCAGTATATGTATTCTATCCGTCACCCTAGTATCCTTACTATGGGGCTAGGCTAATTGGTGTGTGTTTTCGTACCGCGATAAAAATAGGGCAGGTGGTAGAAGAGAAAATTTAGGGTTGTATGTATTTTTTAATACCTCATTATAAAAAAATAAATATAGTCCAAAAAGTAATTAGGGGTGTGTAATGTAGTTCTATCAATTTTATGGGATAACATTCCTCCTAACCCATTTGAGAACACTACGTTACAGGTGGACAACCATTATCAATTAAGGATATGAAAAATAGATAGTAGCCGATTCTCAGACCCACGGAATATGCATATAAAATTTCATGAAAATCGGTCAGGCCGTTTCGGAGGAGTATGGTAACTAACATTGTGACACGAGAATTTTATATATAAGATAATCAAGAAAAAAATTTCCATACAGGATATTGACTACGTGACCAAAACTAAACTCCTCCCTCTCTCCTGTGACCATTTGTGGTATTCTGAAGACCTCCCTCCACATGTACGTAGTATGGGTACGTTACTTCATCTCTATACATAGGGCAGGCAATAGGGGTGACGGGGTACAGTAAACGAAATTCTATTTATTCCGTTAGTTAGATGATCAAAAAATAATGGACACGTATTTTTTCTTTGGGCAATCAACCAAAAAATTACAAAGTTATAGCGCGTCAAAATTTGGGAGTAGGGGCTCGTGACGTCACTTTTTAATATTCGCTTAAAAGTGTACTCAAACATGACGTCATGCGACTTTTCAAATCAATATATCTCTGCAATGTTTATATTATGTGAAAAAAGAAAAACCACGTGTCCAATATTTTTTGATAATCTACCTGATAAACGAAGAAAAAAATAGTCATCATCCCTATTATCACGAAGTGATAGCACAAAGAAATCATCGAGATATACAAAGAATACAAACATAGCCACCATGCGTTCCTTAAGGTGTTGTCAGTTTGAAAGGTGCAGTATGGGAGTGAGTTTCTACATATTTTGTATTGATTCGTTGTTACTGTAGTGTTCTTCAGAAATATAGGAATAGGTAAGCCAGAGTTTCGTCTGCAGAAAAGTATTTGTTAATATGCTTTTTCTATCTGCATTGGAAAGTTAGTAGCTAATCAGTTTAGATTCTGATTGCCTTCAGTGCACAGCTTACGACGCAATTCTTCGAGAATAAGGGATAACGAAGGAGCTCGATGGCGCAGGTTCGCAGTGGTCGGTCATTGGATGGGTGACCAAAAATCTTCTATCTTGAGTTCCTCCGTGCTTCGGAAGGCACGTTAAGCCGTTGGTCCCGGCTGCATCTGCAGTCGTTAGCACCCGCCAATCCGCACTGGGCCCGCGTGGTGGGTCTATCAATCTCCCTATATCCATAGGGAAGGCCTGTGCTCCAGCAGTGGGGACATTAATAGGCTGATGATGATGATGACAACTAGCTTTTAATTTTTATATACTTTAGAAGTGACGTCATCAGCTCCCACTCCTAAACTTTGAAGCGCTCTATCTTTGTCGTCTTTTGGTTGATTGACAAATGTTTAAATAAATGACCGTTAAGTTTTTGATAATGTACTGACAAAATTGACGACCTCCATGGCCGAGTGGTTTGTACGCCGGGTTTCATGGTGTCGTCGACTCGAGAGGTCCCGGGTTCAAATCCCGGTGGGGACAGATGTTTGTGTGATGAATACGAGCATTTGTACTCCAGTCATGGATGTTTAATAAGTATTTTCTATATAAATACACTTATATATGTACAGTATATGTATTCTATACGTTACCCTAGTATCCCATAACACAAGCCTTATAGTGCTTACTTTGGGGCTAGGCTAATTGGTGTGAGTGTTGGAAATATTTATTTATTTTAATAAACAGAATTTACAATTATGCCGATGTGACGTCATTCAGCGCATTCTACCGACTATACCACGGCGAGTGTTCTGAGGAGTTATTCTCCCTTATCCCTCCATCACCTTTTCTTCAGAGGAGCATGCGCGCTGGCCTACGTTGCCACCGACTTACTGTGGCCACTATTCCCACACGAACAAAGAAATTTGGTGACTCATTTCTTTGTCATACTATTCGTAAGTGGAATTCTTTGCCCGCGCACGTGTTCCCTCCTACATCTGGGGTCCTTTAAGAGGCGTGAAAAAGCATTTCTGCAGGCCGACAAGGTGAGGATGGTTGGTGTGGCAGTTTATAACTGCTGTACCAGCTATCTTCGCGTTTGGACTTTATCACCACTTAACATCAGGTGGTGTAGAATCATTTGCCTCTATCCTCATCCCCAAAGTGGACAAAGAGAAAACTTACCACAAACGATATCACATCCATCGGTATCTTATCCTCCCAGTCCACTTTGTCACTCATCACCGCGTGTTTAGCACAACCATCAACCTCGTCGCGTTTCCTCAAATCACTATTTTCACTGGTAACTACAATTGGTTCACTTCTTAAATTCGATTCCCCACCGATCACTACACTTGCTTGTCCACTAACCCCTAAATTAGATTGTCCATCAATCACTAAACTAGGTTGTCTACTAATCCCTAAATTAGATTGTCCATCAATCACTAAACTAAGTTGTCTACTAATCCCTAAATTAGATTGTCCACTGATCCCTAAATTGGGTTGTGCACTACTCTCTAAATTAGGTTGTCCAGCTAGCACTAGCATTGAGCCCCGTAGCTCCATAGCTTTGACTTTCACAGGGCCACCGTTCAAATACATTTGGTTTTCTTTAAATTCCCGCTGCGATTCATGGTAAGATGTGTTCTTCGCGACTTCCCCGGCTGTTACGTAGTGGAGACTATCTCCTGTGACTTTTACGTTTAGGTATGGAACGTATGTATTCCCATCTTGTCCTTTCATCATCGGATAGAGAAGAAAGCTGTTCTGTTCGTTCGGATCTCGTAACATCATTTGCTGTATGTCTCCATCTGGTATGATCACAGCGTCTTTTGAGTTCTGGTTTTCGAGTAACTTTTCTAAGGCTATAATACGAGTCGGTTCTTCATCGTCTATAATGACAATGTTGTCGATAACTGGTGGTCTGTGGGAAGACAATGGTAGGTTATTGGTGAGTATGAAGCTAAATACCTAAGGATGACGTGTATAGTTCGTTGAAATATTTAAAATTTTCTATAGCTAGGGCGGACTGTATGTGTTCGCAATATTAATCAAGGAAGCACTTACTAGTCTGAGTTCCCGATGCCTCTGCATGTGCAGAAATCCCGGGCAGACCCGTCTTTCCCAGTGGGAACTTTGGGCAAGTGCCCAGGGCCCCGCGATCGATAGGGGCCCCCCTCAGATCAAATCCAAAGTCCCTAGTTCCTGTTCGGAAGTCAATCGGAAGTCATAGGGGCCCCATTATCCTAATATGCCCAGGGCCTCCAATAGGTCAAAGACGGCACTGATCCCGGGATTTTTATAACTCAATTAAAGGTGTGATGCGGCGATACAATTCAATTCAGAAAACCACGCGCGCTGGCTATCGTTGTCACCGTCTAACTGTGGCCATAATTCCAACGCGTACAAAGAAATTCGGTGAGGTGACTCATTTCTTTGTCGCACTATCCGTAAATGGAATGCTCTGCCCGCTCACGTGTTCCCTCCCTCTTACAACCTGGGATCCTTTAAGAGGCGTGAAGAAGCAACATGCAGGCCGGCAGGGTGAGGATGGCTGGTGTGGCAGTACAACTGCTGTATCAGCTATCTTCACGTCTGGACTTCACTGTCACTTAACATCAGGTGGGTGGATTCATTTGTCGGACCTATCTATAAAAAAAAAACAATATTGTAGGAAGGCCAAAGGGGGAGATCTTCCTCCGAGCTGGGTGATGGTAGCTCGGGGGCCGCGGCCCGACTGATGTTGGTCGGGCATCGTATATATGAAGAGTTAGCTTACGAATTTCATTTGCGCGATTTAGGCCGTATACAGAAAGAAAGCCGAAAGCCGATCGGCGCTTATCGGCGCCGATCCTTCCTACATAAAGGAAGCCGATTAAAGCAGATCAAGCAAAATGTCGGACTCATCGGACGATGATTTGGTTTTGTTAGAAAATGTTTATTTAAAAATGCGAAAAACAGCTATACATCCTATAAATAGAGAAAGGAAACGTTTCGGAGAATACCATCATTTATTTGTGAAAAAAAAAAAAAATTTGATGAACAAAGATTTTATAGATATACAAGAATGATTCAAGAAACATTTTATTACATTTTGGATTTAGTGAAAAACCGTTTGATGAAAAATTGGGTCAATTGGCATAAACAACCAATCCTTCCAGAAGAAAGACTTGTTGTCACCATTCGGTAAGTACGAAACAAATAATTTTAGCGCTTAGTTAATAAAAGATAAAGTTATTAGATTTATAAAAAGATTATAACTTAGATTGATTTAATCTAAGGATAATAATTCAAATACAAATTATTTATTACTCGGACCAGCGCGTGTCGGCGCCTATCGGCGCTTATCGGCGCCGGTCTATAAAAAAAGGATCAGCGTCAATAGGCGCCGATAAGCGCCGATCGGCTTTCGGCTTTCTTTCTGTATACGGCCTTAGGCTTCCATACTATTCAGATCGCAGTGCAGGTAACGCCATCTCTTGAGGATGGTGAGTAATGATTTCCTCCATCCGTTGTATATATGTGGGGCATGTAGATGTCGCCGCCACAATATTTACGGAGATATGGAGTATCGATCATCGACGAATTAACTAACTACCGTGAACGTCGCCGGAAGTTGCGGAGGTGCGATCAAGCGCTAACGCGCGAACTTCGCGCAGGTAAGGTATTAATATGACGAACACAATTATGAAAAAATATGTGTGCGTGTACTAGTGTACACACGTAAGAAGTGAAACTTCTTTATGGCCTTATTTTTCGAAAAATGATCCACATGAATATGAATATATAATATAATATCTACATCATAAATGATCGCTGAGCGAGTATCGCTGAGCGAGTACCGCTGAGCGAGTATCGCTGAGCGAGTATCGCTATGCGAGTTTGGCTGAGCGCGTCTTATCTTTAATAACTATTGTCACTCAGCTACAAACGAGTAGAGAGAGTTCTCGCCGGCGACAGTGTGATCATTCAGCTATCAACTATTAATTTAAAAAAAGATGGCGCGTAACGGAAAAATGTGACGCGTAACCGAAAAAATGTGACGGTAAATTTTTTTCCAACGCCGATAAAGAAGTTTCACTTCAATAAAATTAAACGACAAGTTATGGAGCCGCAAAGTGGCGTGACCAGTTATAGAAAACAGTTTAAAGCTGCAGAAAAATCTTACTCAATATTATGAGCGCGAAAGCTTCTCTGTTACTGTTTTCTGTGAAAACCGCTGAACGTATTTGCATGAAATTGGGCTTGTATAAAGTTAAAGAAAATATAACTAGAAAAAATTCCACGCGGACCAGGCAGCAGACGGGACTCGAACCCGCACCCTTCGCTATCCGGGCGAAGGCTGCTGCCTGGTCCGCGTGGATTTTTTTCTAGCTATATTTTCTTTATATTTAAACATCAAGCAGTTACATGCTTAAAAACTAAAAATTACAACTTGTATAAAGTTTATTACCTAGGTTGACACATGCGATAACTTTTTCTGAAGTGAAACCTCTTTTCGGACGAAGTGTTAATGGGAAAAATTATATGAAAAAGATGACACGGAAATGCATCACGAGCGTCATACAACTATATACATACATATATATAGTCTGGTTATTATTAAAAACAAAATGATGTCTTCTTTCAGTAAAATATCCTATCTTCAATATTTAATATAGTATTCTATCCGTTACCCTAGTATCCCATAACACAAGCCTATAGTCCTTACTTTGGGGCTAGACTAATTTGTGTGAGTGTTGGAAATATTGATTTATTTAAGATTAGTATAGTAAGTACTTACACAGAGGGTATAACGTTAAGCATGGTCGCGTGCGTCTCCGGCGGTCGAAACTCCTCACTGTTACTCGCAGTTGTCTTGAAATTAATCACATTAAAATAAGTTTGGTATAAATTAGACTTGCAACGAATAGTATATTCGGCAGTATACCGAATACCGAATATTCGGCGAGGCCCCTGACCGAATAGCCGAATATTATTAAGCCGAATAGGCTGCATGGCGGAGGTACACAATATATTGCGCGGTGAGAGGTCCCACTCCACAATTTTAAACATTTAACTGCTACTACTGAAAACCTTACTAGAAAGATTTCATTTGGTCCAATCCCGTTTGATGCCTGGATGCCATAGCTCGATGGCGCAAGTGGTTAGCGTATTCGGCTGCGATCGTTGAAGTTAAGCGACTTGCACAGTGGTCGGTCATTGGATGGGTGACCAAAATTTATTATCATGAGCTTCTCCGTGCTTCGGAAGGCACGTTAAGCCGTCGGTCCCGGCTACATCTGCAGTCGTAAGCACCCACCAATCCGCACTGGGCCCGCGTGGTGGGTCATAGCCCGCACTCCCTATTCCATCCATAGTAAAGGCCTCTGCCCCAGCAGTGGGCACATTAATAGCCTAATGATGATGAGCAGAGCCTCGGTCTGCGTGAGTGGAGATATCCTTGATTAAGGCAGCCGCCGATATTGACATGGACCTGGTTCGTGCTGCGATAGACGACTGGCCGCGCAGATTGAAGGCAAAATCACTGTATTCAAAATCACGAAGGTCATTTTGAATAAACTTTATCGTCATAAGAATCTATGTTTTGTTAAGTTCATTTTGGTATATAAACGGTTACATAATGAATAAACTTGTTTCAATTATTTTATATTAAACACGTGACAGAATTTATGAGCTGACTAGGTATATAGGGTGTTACAAAAATACAAATAAAGCTTGAAGGGCGTTGAAGTTCATAATATAAGGAGTCTTTTCTAATTTTCTTAAAATATTTGTGTGAAGTTCAAATGTTTTATAAAAACAGTTATTTTTAATGATCCTCGAACTAGTGATGAGTCTTAAAATGATCGATATTTTTATTAATCATTATAAATAATTATTTTTATAAAAAGTTAAAACTTCAAGCAAATATTTTAAGAAAATTAGAGAACCTCCTTATATGATGTACTTTAACGCCCTTCAGGCTTTATTTGTATTTTTGAAACACCCTGTATATACTGACCGTGGCGTTGGCTACGTCGGTGCTGATGAGCAGAGCCTCAGTCTGCATGAGCCTGGAGCGCTCAGGTATATATACTGACCGTGGCGTTGGCTACGTCGGTGCTGATGAGCAGAGCCTCAGTCTGCATGAGCCTGGAGCGCTCAGGTATATATACTGACCGTGGCGTTGGCTACGTCGGTGCTGATGAGCAGAGCCTCAGTCTGCATGAGCCTGGAGCGCTCAGGTATATATACTGACCGTGGCGTTGGCTACGTCGGTGCTGATGAGCAGAGCCTCAGTCTGCATGAGCCTGGAGCGCTCAGGTATATATACTGACCGTGGCGTTGGCTACGTCGGTGCTGATGAGCAGAGCCTCAGTCTGCATGAGCCTGGAGCGCGAGCGCACGCGGCGCCACACATCCTCCTCTTCTATTTTCAAGTTCTGACGTCAATACAACCGTATATTGTTTTAAACTTTCATTGTTACAAACATTATAGTATAACTAGCAAACCGGTGAACCAAATGTTCACCAAAACCTGATTTCTCGAAAACCGGATGTGCTACGTTACTCAAATCCGGTTTGTAGTCTTATCAGACTATTCTTAACTTATAACTTGAATATTCTCTTTATCTATCTCTTACGGTTTGGCCGCTGAAACAGCACCACAGACAGACAGACGGACGGACTTGTCTAATAGATAAGAGATTTATGATATTCATGAGTGAGTGGACGTTGTATTGGTAGTGACATATTTTTTTTTGTTGCTACTTCTGTTAAACGCTGACGGGTTTCTTGCGCCCATTCTTGTCATCAGCTAAGAGATATTCTGAATGAGTGGTTGCGAAAAATATTGGACGATTCAATAGAGTTTAATAAAGTATCATTTCATTTAATTTCTTGTATCTATCTATATAAATAAAACTCAAAGGACTGACTGACATAGTGATCTATCAACGAACAGCTCAAACCACTGGACGGATCGGGCTGAAATTTGGCATGCAGGTAGATGTTATGACGTAGGCATCCGCTAAGAAAGGATTTTGATCAATTCTATCCCCAAGGGGATAAAATAGGGAATGAAAGTTTGTATGAAACTTTGTCAATTTTAAACCGATCGGGCTGAGACTTTGCATGCAGGTATAAGAAGAATCATAGATGAATGTCATTGTGTATAATACAAGCCTGAGAACAAAAACTGTAGTCTACACTTTAGCTCTACACCGAAGCGAAGCGAGGGCGGGTTGCTAGTAGTAAATAATAGTGACAATCCCGTAAAAAACATAAATTCAGAGCGGACGCGAGCTGAAAGACATTTGAGAAATAGGTATTTCAAAAATGATTGCTGTCACGCATTCGTTCGCCTCGCCCGAACACAATTTTCATAACGCGTAACTCATTCGCCAGCTTACCCCCCAAGCTGAACGTGTGTTATAACACACGTCAATGTTATAACGCACGTGTGTTATAATCCATTACCTATTAATTTTATAAACACTGAAACTTCTATAAAGCAATTAAAAGCAAATGGGATTGAAATAAAACTGTTCAATAGACTCAGATTTCTTTACTTTTGAAATTATGAATATTTAAAAAAAACAACTATTTACTGATTATTTAAACTAAAATATCAAAACCCTGAAGCGTTATTCCTTGTCACGTGCGTAAAGAAGTTTTACATCAAATATTTTCTGTGAACCAACTTTACAGACAACTATTTTTTCCCCATATTCTACCCCTTTGTACGGCCACCCCGTGCAATGCAAACCGGCAGATCAATATTTTTTCTTCACTATATAGCGTGTCTTGTATGTTGGGCCGCACCATCTGTTGATGTCTACTATACCGTACCGTAATGAAGTTGCCTGTAATAATCCACTGTCATAAATTACTGTACCGAAGTTGTCTAGCGTATTCCAGTCACAAATTACTGTACCGAAGTATTCTAGCGTATATAACACGTTCACAAATTACTTTAACGAAGTTGTCTAGCGTAGTCCACAGTCATAAATTACTGTACCGAAGTTGACTAGCGTATTCCACAGTCACAATTGACTGTACTGAAGTATTCTAGCGTATTCCATTGTCACAATTGACTGTACTGAAGTTGTCTAGCGTAGTTCACAGTCACAAATTACTGTACCGAAGTTGTCTAGCGTACCCACAGTCACAAATTACTGTACCGAAGTATTCTAGCATATTCCACTGTCACAAATTACTTTAATGAAGTTGTCTAGAATATTCCACAGTCACAAATTACTTTATCGAAGTTGTCTAGCGTATCCACAGTCACAAATTACTGTTCCGAAGTATTCTAGCGTATTCCACAGTCACAAATTACTATACCGAAGTTGTCTAGCGTATAAAACAGTCACAAATTACTGTACCGAAGTATTCTAGCATATTCCACAGTCACAAATTACTTTAATGAAGTTGTCTAGCGTATTCCACAGTCACAAATTACTTTAATGAAGTTGTCTAGCGTATTCCACAGTCACAAATTACTTTATCGAAGTTGTCTAGCGTATCCACAGTCACAAATTACTGTTCCGAAGTATTCTAGCGTATTCCACTGTCACAATTGACTGTACTGAAGTATTCTAGCGTATTCCATTGTCACAATTGCCTGTACTGAAGTTGTCTAGCGTATTCCACAGTCACAAATTACTGTACTGAAGTTGTCTAGCTTAGTTCATAGTCGATACTTACATAAAGCACGCTATGTAGCGTATCCTTGAGTGGTTTGAGCTTGGTGCAGGGTATCTAGTGCGCGTAGGCCTGGAACCACCTGTCCAGTTACCTAAATGAAGTTATCTAGCATATTCCACTTGAGACTTACATAAAGCACGCTACTTAAAACATCCTTGAGTGATTTAATGTTGGTGCGAGGTATCTTATGAGCATTGGTTTCACACCAGAGGTTGACGGCCGCGGCGAGTGTGACCGCGTGCAGAGTGTGTAAGGCAGCGGATACCTGCGCCTCACACATGTAGCAGAGGTGCTCGTTCTGATGACAATACCACAATAAAAAAAAAATATTAGAAAAAATGCTGAACGAGAAGAAATTGCAGGTTGCTACAATGCGAAGAGATGGAGATGCCTTGCAGTCTAACAAATAGTAGGAGAAATTCGAGACGGCATTTAGGGCCGCGTTAGTGTAATGGTCAGTGCATCTGCCTGGGTAGTGGAGGCTGTGGGTTCCCGTCCCATCTACTTCATGGACCATATGGAATTATCTAGTTAAATTTTCTTTAGATTATAGCAACACCATATCATAAGTCTGTGAGGGCGTTAAATTCAGGCATCACAACAGTACTCTAAAGAGGCCCAAACACTAATTTGGACAGCTCTGTAATTGGTTCCTAATCATCAAATTTTTGAATGGAAGGGCCAGTTAGTACTTACGTCTGGTAGGGGCGCTGCTTAGTTTTTATAGAAACTTTGCCGATGCAATACAATTACAGAGCTGTCGATATTCGTGCTTGGGCCTCTGTATTCATATCACTGCGGCCATTACGGTACCCTTACTTTTATAATTGGGGAAAGGTTAAGGAATTGACAGCTTATTTGTTCCCCAACTAAAACCCTCAATGGACAAGCTACACAAGTCATTTTGGGTAAATACACCAGAAAAAAAAAGAAAAATAATACTAGAGTAACAGATAGAATACATATACAGTACATATATAAGTAAATTTATATAGAAATACATATTAAACATTCATGACTGGAGTACAAATGCGTGTATTCATCACACAAACATCTGCTCCCACCGGGACCTCTTGAGTAGGCGACACCTTGAAACCCGGCGTACAAACCACTCGGCCACGGAGGTCGTCAAAAGTATAGTTTCAGATAAGAACTCTAATCTGATGTAATGAAATGAAATGAAATGTCATTTATTCAGTCTAGGCTGTTACAAGCACTTGTGAAGGTCAAGAAGCTACGCCATCGGTTCGCAAAACTATGGCGGGAGACCTTGTACTGAGAAGAACCGGCAAGAAACTCAGCAAGGGCTGTTTTTTTCTCCGTGTATTGTTATATACAGTGTCGTCAATTTGAAAAATTACTTCAGAAATACGTCTGAAGTCACTTTCCATTACATCATCTAGAATATAAATAGTTACAATTAATTTTATAGTTAACATTTTAAGTAGTATATAGGAAGCGGCATTAGATAGGTACAATATTACTGTTATGAAAAATGAGTAATATCCATTTAATATCAAATTATAAGAAACACTATGTCCATGCATTACGATCATTTAGATAATCATCAACTTTATAATAGCCCTTATTCATAAGAGTATTTTTGATCTGAGATTTAAATTTAGTCAGTGGAAGCTCAATCAGATCTTGGGGAACTTTGTTAAACAATGCAATACTACAACCCAGAAATGAACCTCTTGATTTTTGGAGTCTGAAACATGGAACGGCAAGCTTGTTCTTAAATCTCGTGTTAAAGTTATGGGTTTGACTTTTTTTTGCAAATTCATCATAGTTTTTTCTTACATATATTAAATTTTCATAAATGTATTGCGACGCCAGTGTTAAAATATTAATTTCTTTAAATTTTTCTCTAAGGGATTCTCTTGCCTTTAAATTGTATATGGCGCGAACAGCTCTCTTTTGCAGTATGAAAATACTTTCGATATTAGCAGCTGAGCCCCACAACAAAAGGCCATATGACATAACACTGTGAAAGTAACCAAAGTAAACTAATCTTGCCGTTTCCACATCAGTTAAGAGTCTTATCTTTTTAACAGCGAAAGCTGCAGAGCTCAATCTACTTGACAAGGCATCAATATGAGGATCCCATTGCAGACGAGAGTCTAAAGTAATACCCAGAAACTTTGTAAAATCCACTAACTCTACAGGCTGGTCATTTATTTTTATACTAGTATTAACCTGCCTCACATTAGGTAGAGTAAACTTAACGCATTTTGTTTTACTGGAGTTAAGTTTTAAATTATTTACCGTAAACCAGTGAAGGACTTCAGAGAGAGCACAATTTACTTCGTCAAAACAATCATTTCCTCTTCTAGCTTTAAACAATAAAGAGGTGTCATCAGCAAATAGTACTGTCTCACACAAATCTCTTGTAAAGTGAGGAAGGTCATTGATATAAATAAGGAAAAGCAATGGGCCCAATATTGAACCCTGGGGCACGCCCATAGAAATGGGTGCTCCTGTAGACTCAGCTTCATTTATAACTACTTTCTGAATCCTAGCAGAAAGATAAGACTGTATCAGACTTAGTGAAATATTTGATACACCATAATGCTTCATTTTATTTAACAATGTTTCATGGCTAACGCAGTCAAACGCCTTTGATAAGTCGCAAAAAATGCCAATAGCATCATGCTTACTCTCCCATATATCAAAGATGTGTTTGAGAAGTGCAGTTCCAGCATCAGTAGTACTTTTGCCTCTAGTGAAACCAAACTGTTTTAAATGAAATAGCTTATTTATAGAAAAGTGTGCTAGTAATTGGTTATAAATTATTTTCTCAAATACTTTACTTAGCGCTAGTAATACAGATATAGGCCTAAAATTGCTGGGATCTGATTTGTCACCAGCCTTAAAGAGAGGGATAACTTTAGCACATTTCATTAGATCTGGAAACACTCCCTCATCAATACATTTGTTAAATATAATGGCCAGTTGTGGCGCAATAACAGTGATAATCGGTTTTATTATATATGTTGATATTCCCCAATAATCCTCTGTCTTTTTAATTTTAATTGAGTTAAAAGTTTTTATAATACAGTCACTACTGATATGTCTAAAATGAAAATCATTACTGCACTTATCAACACTTGACTCAAGGAGGGTCATTGTAAGTTTCTTAGCTTAGATTAGGGATAACAGAAAGAGCAAATGGTAAAATTTTAACGTTATTTTATTTATTTCAATAGTAATAATTTCATATTTTGTTAGTAAACATGTTTATATTTACTATCTAATGAAGGTCTGTGCCCCAGCAGCAGTGGGGACATAATAGGCTGATGATGCTGATGTGTTTGCTACGAAGGCATTATAATTGGGCAATAACATAACCTGTCTTATTCTTGAGATTTTCCTTCATTCTGTATGAATTCATTCCTTCGTCATGTCATTCGTAAAAGTAGACAACTCAGATGGAAGTGGGCAGGTCACGTCACAAGAGACAAAATAGGGAAGTGGACAAGGAAGACCACGGAATGGATCCCCAGAATGAACACTTACCGTAAACGTGGACGACAGCTGAAACGATGGTCGGATAACATAAGAAGGGTAGCTGGCCCGCTATGGCTGAGGTTAGCAAGGGATAGATCGGGGTGGAAAAGACTGGAGGAGGCCTATGTGTCTACAGGACACGCTGAATTATAAGTAAAAAATGTTAATGATGTGTTTTTTATGTAATTATCAGCAATAAAGGCTTTTGTATTTTGTATTCATTCTGTATGTGTGGTAAAACAGCTTGGTCTAACAAAATGCCGTAAATGAACATGCCTGCTTGCCATGTATATATGATTGTGGTTTTTAAAGTAGTGGTGTCAATTTTAGCATGATTCTGGTGTCGATTATCTAAACTTAAAACTAACTTTAACATCAGTCTCTCCTATTCATTCTGAATAGAGATTAACAAGGATACACTGCTGTCAAATTTAAGTTTAGGTTTGGGGAACCCTGTCAGAATGGACACCTCTCTAATCCCAAACATAAATTTGACAAATGTATCCTTGTTAATCTTTAATGGCTCAATGGTGTTAGTCATTCTCTATAAAGATTTAAAAGTAGAAACTGATGTTAAATTTAGTTTTAATTTAAGAGAATCATGCCAGAATACTTGTGTAATAGTACTGTTAAGCAATAGTATTGTAAATACTTACTCTGGGCGTTTTCACTCGCATCTTCTTTGCGCACGCCGCGAATGCTTTGGATTTTGTAAATTTAGTTTCAGTGCGAAGACATAGAGCACAGAAGGTCAAATCCTCACCATGCCTGCTTCCCAAGATACCTTTGAGAATTTCACATATTTGCTCTGCCGCCATTCTTGCTTTTCGGAGTCCAACAACCGTTTATTATGAAGTAAAGCTCGTATTACAATACAACGGTAGCTTTTTACGAACACATAATTGTAGAAAAAAAGCAAAGTAAGCAGAAAAATAAAATACAAACATTTGCGATATTTTCGTATTTTTTTGTTTTTTTTCCTATAGATAGGTAAAGGATGCTTCGTTCAGACAGTCTCGCCTTAGATATTTTTTTTCTGCTTCTTGGCTATTTGATATAACATTCGAGTGGGAGTTTTATATGATTGAATGATTACATTGAATCACTTTTCTGTCATACTCTCTTCCCATAGGATTTTGATCAGATTTTAGGGTATCTGGTAAATTCTGTAAATATATCCCTTATTAAGAGATAGGTATAATGAAAAGGTAGTAAGCAGGCAGGGGCGTATTTTGAAATGTGGCGTCTCGGACCACTTACGATTATTATGATTTGCACCCACAGAATTTGGCAATCAAATCAAAATATAGTTCAGTAAGGAATGCCTTTAGATGACTTCTACCGCCCCACAGCTCTTTTAGTCGGCCCGGGCCATAGCCCTCCGGTCAAATAAAAAAAACGAGTGTGCTTATGACTACACGACTGAAGTGAAACTTCTTTAGCTCCATCTGTATGTATATATATATAAATGACGACCTTCGTGGCTGAGTGGTTTGTACGCCAGGTTTCAAGGTGTCGCTGACTCAAGAGGTCCCGGGTTCGAATCCCGGTGGGAGCAGTGTTTGTATGATGTATACCTATATATTTGCATCGAAATGACATCCTTCAGACTTCAGACACCTTCCACATCAAAAACACGTCGTAAAAGGAGAATAACTGATTTATTTAATGACGACGACTACATTATTGATGCTCAAATGCAATTAATAAGCGGACAAATTGGCGTTGCGCATTTTTTAGAAAAGATGCGGTTATAATAATATTGAGTATTTGATTAATATATTATTTTTAAATATATGCAATGCACATATTTGACATAATTTATTGTTTTTGTATCTCGAATGAGAATAATAAGTTAACGGATCGAACTAAGAAATGGAGCAAGTGAGAACTAGTTCCACGGTCGAACAAATGAGAAAAATAATTCCCATTAGTTCGACGATCGAACTAATGAATCGAACTAGTGAGAATAAAGGGTCTGGGGAAGTATCTTCACTTTACAGAAAATCATAGTAAAATAACACTACTTTTGAAGTGAAAACTTCTTTAGCGGAGTTGTACACTTTTTTTGAAAGGGTAAAAAAATGATAAACTCGCGTCAGGTTAAACACGTGGGCTGATCGCATTATGACACACAATAAAATTGGAAAGGTTGTTGACCTTCAATATATTGGACGAAACATAGTAATATTTTATTTTATCGTATTATAATAATAAGTCTGTATCTAGGACGTACACGTGGCAGCTTTATTGCGAAGAAAATGCATTTTTTTACAATAGATGTCGCTAGGTGCGCTTAAACGTGATTCATGTAAGTTGATTTTTCTGAGAGATAAACTTTTTTAATGTAATATAAATTGTCATGTTTGTGTACGATAGCGCAATAAATAAATATTGTGTTCTACCACATACATGATAGTACTTTTAACTGATAATTAAAGCAATTCGTGCAAAATTATTCCCTAACCATTCCAAAATATCAAAAAAGCACAACGTTAATATTCAAGTTTTCACTTCTGCCGGCACTCCCGGGTTGCAACCCATCGTTTTTTTTATTGATGGTGTGTGTTCCTCTATATGAGTAAGGTTTCAGGGCTCCACGGGGTAGGAGATTGGGAAAGGGTAGGCACTGGCGGCGTGAGTGATATTTTTGATGTCGTATTTTCTATACGCTATATAGTCGGAGAGCTGGCTACGAAAATGTGAACTGATAAGGTGCAGTAACGAATTATATATACAACCTCTCCTTGGTAGCCTATAAGTACAGAGCGAGGCCCGTCAGAACTCTCTCCCGGGGCGGAAGGCGTGGGTGGGCGGACAAAGTCGTTAATTTTCAATAAGAAAAAAATGATTAGGCCCCTTGGCGATTAAACATTGTAAGTATCACTGTTATGCTGACGATGTTCAGCTATAAATATCAACAACCCCTGATAAAATAAACGATGCCTTGCATAAGGTGAATCACGATCTGGATGCCATAGCTGCATGGTCGACTGATAATGCGTTGGTCTTGAATCCTTCAAAATCTAAATTTATGATCATCGGCACTAAACAACAGACTGAAAGACTCGCTAGTTGTAATCCTACGCTTCGAGTGTTGGGGTCAGACATTGAACATGTAAGCGAAGCCAGGAACTCGGGTATAGTGTTCGACAATAAGCTGCATTTTGAGAAACATGTTTTGGGTCTTGTAAGGAGTTGCTTTTATAGGTTAAAAAATGGGTGCGTGTACTTATGTAGGCGCGTGAGAAGTTATCCTTCTTTGGCATCGTTTAAAATTAGTTTTTAATTGCATGCAAATAATTAATTACAATAAATTAATAAAAAGTCTGGAAAAGGACACAGTCAATAAAGTTCAGTTTTAATTTGAAAAAATAAATAAATAATCAAAATATTCAATTAAAATCGCTACTGAATATAATTTATTAGAACATATGTGATTTGCACTTGTATGAAACTCAAACACGTATTCCGAATATACAAACTAGAAACATGTGGATAAATATTATAAATATGAATACCTATAACTGTCCTTTATTACAATAATAACATAAAAGTAACATTGAAAAATAAAGATGTGGTTTTTGGTTCTACTACACCAATGGTCAAGAGATGGCGCTGTAGTCTCCTGAATCGCGCTTTGGTTCCGTTATTCCAGATTAATAAATACTTTTGATAGGCCTTTACAATACAGTCGTTAGCACCCACTAAATAGAGATTCTATTTCTATTTTGTTGGTACATTCTCATAATTTGCGGTAAACACAAAAGTAACAGCATGAAGTTGGTTGGTCGCTTTAGCGACCAACTTCATGCTGTTAAAATTTTGTGTTACAGTGATGCGCGCGCATCTTAAAATTTCACTCTCATCATTTTTTCATAACACGCCTAAAGAAGTATAACTTCAAAAACTTTGTATAAAATTCGGAATTTCCTTACAGAACAAACACGGATCATTTGATGTGAGTCACTGGTTTTATCGGTACTGAATTATGGGGATCTAGTATATGGTCCTCGTTTGCTTACTAGTACTCAAAGGCTTATCCAGCGAGTTCAAAATGCTTGTGGTCGTTTTTGTTTTAATATCCCTCCTCGAACCCACGTGTCACCATTTCTTAATAGCGCCTCATTATTGAATATGGAGTCACGCAAGCATCTGCATTTGGCAGTATTTATGTTTGATCTGTTAAAATTTAAGAACCCGGAATACCTTTACAAAAAGTTACAGTTTCGTACCTTCCATTCTCGATATGGACCAGGTGTTTGCAGATCAATACGTCCGATATTGGCGACGCAAAAACATAAGACAGTGGCATTTACAGGTAGTTTCCGCGACCAAGCGACTAAATGTTGGAATGATTTACCTCCTCCTATAAGACACGTAATATCAAGGTACACTTTCAAAAGCAAGTTAAATTAGCCTTACTGAATTTGCAAACTTTAGGTTAGGCATACGCACTAATTGTCGTTTTGGTGGAGGTTCTTCTGTAAGCATTCAATCTTCTTGACATTCAAATTAAAATTTATGTTTTATATTATTACTTACACATTTATTTAATATTGTCTACACAATTTTGTTTTTTAATGATTAATTACACATACATTTATTTATTATTATTTAGAAAAATTTATTAACAAATATTGCTAGGTAAATTAATAATGAAGTAAATGATGTTCGTGTATTGTGTTTGTGTGGGACTAGGGAATTACAATGCCAGCTTTACATCCTCGCGCTTCCTACGGGCAGTTGCTGAAAATCAGCATTTTGTCTATTAAGGCAAAAACACTGCTGAGCTTCTGCCTATTTGCATCACTGTCACTCACTAATGATTGTAGTACATACTAGTAATTTAAGAACTGTTAAACTTATAATCATTTATGTCTGCTTATTATTAATTGTAGTAATTTGTGATGCAAATAAATGAATTTATTATTATTATTAGGTGCAGTTCTGAAATTTGGTAGAGTTATAATTTTTAACTGTAGGAATCTAGGAAAATTGTTGTCTGAAGTCTAGGTTGGGGCTTAAAGACTGTCAGAAGTCGACAAAGTTGTAAAGAATTTGTTTAAATTTAAACCACAAGGTGCAGTTCTGACAAATGCATTTTCATATTATTTGTAGCTTATCGAACCTGTATATAAATTGTCAGAAGTCTTAATAATGGCTAAGTACATAAAAATTGATGATATAGTCAGAAGTTGCTGAAGCGGCTATCGCGACGGAAAGCAACGTTTCGAATTAAAATAACAAGGTGCAGTTCTGACAATTGCATTTTTATTTTATTTATAGCTTACCAAACCTGTACATATATTGTCAGAAGGCTAAATAAAGGATATGTACAGAAAAAAATATGATATGGCCAGAAGTTGCTGAAACGGCTATCGCGTTGAAAAGGAACGTTTCGAATTTAGATTCAAAATTAAATAACAGGGTGCAGTTTCGGCTATTTATTGTTTTTATTATTTACACTGTTATTTTAATAAATATGCAATGACAAAAGGTTAAGCGAGGGAGATAAAAAATAAATATAAAAATTGTGTTGCCGAGTAATCGCTGACTTAGACGACAAGCTTTAAAAAAATAATTTTTACTCAAAAAAATTATATAAAGTAAAAGAAATAGAGAAGTTTTGCCGAGAGTTTACAGGTACTAAGGCTTTCAGGCTCGATACATTTTCGGAAAAAAAATCGAGACTCGGACCGGTCCCGTGATTCCCGGGAAAAACGAGACTTTCCAGACTTTGAAAATAAGTTTCATACTCAAGGTTTATACAATTAGGCAATTAATACAATATGTTTCAATTAAGTTCTTTAATAATGAACTATTACAATATAATCAAATATAAGTGAAATTCACATAGAGAGGATCTGATCTTGTTGCAAAAGTAACCTGCATTAGAAAAAGCTCTCTCTACTTCGACGCTAGTAGGGAGGATGGATAACAAATAATTATAGCACTGATTTAAATGCTTTCCTCTGTCGCCACCAACTGTTGTGCTAAGAAACACATCGTAGCTATATAATTCACACTTTTTATAAAGAA